TTTTTTTTTTTTTTTTTTTTTTTTTTTTTTTTTTTGCATCCTGCCTGTCGTCCTTCTCATCCTTTTCTGTTTTCTTACTTCGGTTATTTGTCTTCTTGCATTTTCTATGTATTAGGCGCTCAAACGAGGTATATTTTGCAGGTCTTGATATACATACATATACATACATGTGTGTTGTTCCATGCCATTCCCTGTATATGAACGAAAGCAAAGGAAAAGGGCAGTTATTATGACAACGCGCAGGCCATTTGAGCTATCGGTCATGGTTGCTATAGAAGACGGGAATACAAAATGCCTATGCCAGAGGCAAAATGATAAGATTAGCAGCAGTAGCAAGAAAAAGATTGATGTGGAGAACTAGAATACGCAGGGCGACATGGCCATATCCATAACTAATCGCATAAGGTCTGTCTAGAACGTTCCGTATAGCCGCAATAAGAGCAGGGATTCTGTTTGAGTATAAACAGCTATATCCCTACATTGACCCCCAAAAGAGTGTACGCAGGAGCAGAGCATAACCATTCGAGAAATTAACAAGACTCGCTACAATAACGACGATGAACATCGTTGTGGTACAAAAAAACTGATACTCAGTAGTCATTAAACATCATCACTTATTATTATATAATCGTAGGATAATGTCTATTTGGCGATACCCTCGCGCTTCAAGTCTTGCAGGTTGAGCGTGTCTTGATCACCAGGACGACGCTCCCCTTGGATTCTTGCCTTATCTTCTGGACCTCCCTTACCCTGGAATTCGCCAGCTGTTGCTAATCTGTAACGATCGCGATCATATTAGCATGTCTTACCTCTTGTACATGACATAGAATGGTATGAAAAAAACTCACCTGCCCCGGTCATCACGGCTGCCACCTTCATCTTCAGGGATAGGCTTGTTGTCGCTACCAGTAGGGCCTGCCTCTCTACCAGTCTTGACACCTGTCTCCTGAGGGAACTTCTTGTCGACGAACTCGTTCACGCCGGACTCGATGGCTGTTTTAGTTAGTGACTTGTTAGGACGGAAAGAAGATACGTGAACTTCACATACTCGAATCACTCTTGGGTCCAAGACCTTGCTTTGCCTGGTAGCTGTTGAGGTCCTGCTCAGCGCGAGCAGCCAAGTGTAATGCGTCGGATTCCGCCATTTTCGTATAGATTCAGAGATGCCGTCAGAGATGCCGTTAAATAAGGAAGAATTAATAGGGCAATTTTTTTTTTTTGAGAAGACGAGTTGAATATGAAGAAGAGGAGAGAGTAGTTCATTGTCGAGGGTAAATATATCCATGGGTGCTCGCCAGACCCATCTCCCATCATCAGGGACACAGAGAGTTGTTGCATCATGCTACATCATGGCGATGTCAATTACCCACGTTTGGCGCCCCAGAAAGGGTCCACGGAAAAGCAGAGTCATGACCTGGACACTGTTCGCAGTGGGCAGAAGCTTCAGATCTGGTCCACTTGTACGCCATGGAACAGCTGGTTATACTTCCAAGGTCTGGTTTCGACCATAGGACGATGACTTCATCGCCATCTACAATCCGGGCGGCTGCCCTATACCCACCGCCTTCCAAATTGGAGAGATAGATAGGGTTCGGTCCTAGGGTACTTCGGAGAAGGAATAATGAGATCTTCCGACGGGGTAGGCGGCGGGGGATCTTTGCTGGGAAAACAATAACACGGGAGTTCGATAGCAGTCGATCCAAGAGCTCAGTAGTCTATCTTGCCTGCTGCGGTTGATTGCGAGAACGGGGCTTGACTATCTCATGGCACCCTAAATTCGACAACTCGACACATCTCAATCTTGCTTGGAATTGATTTTAATAGCTTTTCCGGCAGCTTCGACGCCCAAGCCTGACACGAGTACTTTCACCATGGCATTTGAGCTATCTGGGGAGGCAAATCCCTTGGATTTGCAGAATGTCCTCAATGCGCTCATGCTGGCTGCCAGTTCAACGCAGCAGCAGGTGCAGACCGGCGCCCAGCAGCTTCATAACTGGGAGAAACAAGCAAAGTACTACTCGTTCGTTCAGGTACTTCCTTTTTGTTGCCCGGCCCTATATTGAATCATTTTTTGTCCCGAAACCTTACTAACCTATCCAGGACATCTTCCTGGATTATTCAGTTCCGTTCGAAGTCCGGTACCTCGCAATCATCCAATTGAAAAATGGAATCGATAAATATTGGCGCAAAACCGCAACCAAGTATGCTTGCACTGTCTCAACACCTATGATATGACAATGTCTCAAAACTAACGCCGGGAAAGTGCTATCAAAAAGGAAGAGAAAGACCATATCAAGAACAGAGCTTTGCAAGCTGGCGTTGTTGAACCTGTCCCGGTTCTTGCCCTTCACAACGCCTTGATGCTTGCGAAAGTCTTTCGCTACGAATTCCCGCAAGAATGGTGCGCAAAATATATCAGAAATGCTTGGATTGGTGTTTGCTAATACTCTGAAGGCCCGACGGCATGTCTTCGATCATCGACTTCCTCCGATCCTCTACGCAGCCCGGCGCAAATCCGTTGCAATTACCGCGAACCCTCAACATCCTCTTACAAATCATAAAGGAGCTGTCCACAGCACGTTTGCAGAGAACACGCGCCCACCTCCAGTCAGCCTCTCCGGAAATATTCCACCTTCTGGGAAGCATATACGTGGACAAAGTGAACAAATGGGGTTCCGTTTTGGAGCAGGGTGGTGCCGACGAGGCGGCATTGCTGGAAATATTTGGACAAAGCTTGGTATCCATGAAGGTTATTCGACGACTCGTTATTGCTGGATTTGAACATCCGAACCGAGATAAAGAGGTTCAAGAATTCTGGCGCCTTACCCATTCCCATTTCAGCCGATTTCTTTCGTTTGCGCAGGGACAAAATATACTGCCTGAACAGATCCACAGATCGATTGAGAAACATTTGTTACAGTTGTCAAAACTTCATGTCGATATGGCCAAGACCCATCCCGCTTCTTTCTCCTTGCTGCCAGACAGCATTACCCTTGTGCAATCTTACTGGACATTGGTTGTTAAGCTTGGGGAGGATTATGGGAAAATTGAAGCTGAAGGAAAATCGTTGATGGAAAAGACCGGACTCAGAGCCCTTCTCTTGATCAGAGCTTGTGCGAAGATGGCCTTCAACCCCGTTCAGACATTCAAGTACCAAACACCGGTGGACAAAGAAGAAAAGAAACAGGCAGTGGAACTTATCAAAGCCCAACTATTTACGCCAGACTTCGTAATTAACGTCATGGAGCTTCTGGTTACCCAGTTCTTCAGATTCAGGAAGGATGACTTTCAAGAGTGGGAAGAGGAACCTGAAGAATGGGAGAAAAGAGAGGCCGAAATCGCTGAGGCCTGGGAATTCTCTATCCGTTCCTGCTCCGAGAAGCTCTTCCTTGACCTTGTCATTCATTTCAGGGAATTGCTTATTCCTCGTTTATTGAGCGTGTTCTATAATTTTTCCAGCCCCGAAAATCGCGATGTTCTGCTGAAAGATTCATTGTATTCAGCCATTGGATTGGCTGCAGCATGTCTTGACCGACATCTGGATTTCAATGCGTTCTTGGAATCGTCGCTTGTTCCTGAAGTTCAGATTCAGGAACAAGGATACAATCTTCTCCGGAGAAGGATTGCTATTTTACTTGGCCAATGGGTCCCCGTGAAGCCGGACGAGCTGAACAGGAATGCCATTTACCAGATCTTCCAATACCTGCTCAGCAGACAGGACCCGTTGAATGACCTTGTCGTACGAGTATCCGCTGGACGGCAGCTTCGAAGTGTCCTTGACCCATACGAGTTCTCCCCTGCCGGGTTTATACCATATGCACCATCCATACTTTCAGATCTCATGGCTCTCATCCAAGAAGTTGAACTTCCCGAAACCAAGATGGCGCTTTTGGATACGGTTCGTGCTATAGTAGTCAAGATGGAGGATAATGTAAATGTTACTGCTTAGATGGTATCTTGTTGCAGCCGTGCTAATGTTTCGCAGATTACACCTTTCTCGGACCAAATCCTAGCATTACTGCCTCCACTATGGGAACAATCAGGAGAGGAACACCTAATGAAGCAGGCCATCCTCACGCTACTCTCGTCGTTGATAGACTCGCTGAAGCAAGACTCCGCCAAGTACCACCCTCTTATCCTGCCTCTGATCCGCAGCTCAGTCGAGCCGGGCTCTGTAAGTTCTCCTTCTACCTCCGGCAAGAAAATGGTGACTAACAAGCCAAGGAAACCCAAATCTATCTCCTTGAAGAAGCCCTTGAACTTTGGTCCTCAATTATGGTCCAAACCCCCGCCCCAGCATCCCCCGAAGTCCTCTCCCTCCTCCCCGCCCTCTTCCAAATCTTCGAAGACGCAACAGACAGCTTCCCCATGGCCCTCCAGATTGCCGAATCATACGTTTTCCTCGCTCCCCAAGAAACCCTCAGCGACCACATCCGCCTCCCCCTTCTCACCTCCCTAGAATCCCTCCTCAAGTCAACCACCAAGCAACGCCTCGGCTCCGTCCCCCGCCTCGTGGAACTCTTAATCCGCGGCGCCGGAACCGTCGACCCCGGCAACAACGAAATAACATACCAAGTCATCGCGCGTTCTTTACTCGACAGTTCTTTCCTCGAGGGCCTCCTTGAAGGCCTGCACTCCGCCCATGAAGCAAGTCAAACCACCGGCCCACACCGCAAACAAACACAAGTTTACGGCATGGTTGAAACAGACTATCTCTCCGTCCTCGCGCGCCTCGCCCTCGCAAACCCCAAGATCCTCGCCTCCGCGGTTGCAGCGACAACAGGTACCTCCGAGGAAACAACCCTCACCTGGATCCTGACAGAATGGTTCTCGCACTACGACAACATCGGCTCCGTGAACCAGAAGAAACTCCACGCGCTTGCACTTACCCAACTCCTCGCGCTTAACGGCCCTGAAGCTCAGCCGCCGCACTATATCCTGAACCATCTGCAGTCGTACCTCAGCGTTTGGACAGATATCGTCACTGAGCTGGCGGAGGGCTCGGAGGAGGATCCTAGCTTGCCGGGTGATTATTTGATTTTCTGGAACCAGCCGCAGCCCGGACAGTGTCATGAGAACGAGCCGCCAGAGACTGACCGGAGACGACAGTGGGATAGTTCGGATGTTGTTCACACAATTAACATTCGGGACTTTGTCCGTCAGAAGCTGCATGCGTTGATTGTTGCTTGTGGTGGGGAGCAGCGGTTCCAGGGAGAGTGGTTGGTGAATGTTGATCGTGAGGTTGTTGCAGCTTTTGGGGCTCTGGGGCTTTTTTGATGTCGCCAACGCTGGAAGAGCATAAGGCTGAATGAGTACTTAACTGCTGCATTTGTTAAATGATGGGTAATGTCGATTGCATATAACACATACCCCTACAGATATGAAATAATGGAAATAATGGATCGACCGCATGTCTATTGTCTATCACGATTAAAGCAAAATAATACCCAAAATCAAGCCCCGGGAAATAAAAAAGCACTAGTAATAAGTAATAATAGGCGTATACTGCCATGAAAGAAACAACCAAAAAAAGGCCGGAGATGTAAAAGAATAGAAGATATGGAGCCCACTCCGCTTAGTCGCATTGGCCAGGGAACTGTCGGTCATCCAGAGGTTGAGGGAACACACCCTCGGCAAGCAACTGCCTCATGTCCCATTCAGGAGCACTCTCAGTCTTCCAGGTCCAGAACACCCAGCCACTATTTTGCTCCCAAGCGTCCAGTTGACCTTCAATGAAGCGACGGGTATTTGCTTTGTCTTCGTCGGAGAAGTCGGCCACAGTACCAACAGACTTGCCATCGCATGAACCGGCACTGAAGTCAGCGGACATGGTACCGTCGTAGCGAGCGCCGACTCCCTTGCCGTTGAGGTATTTCGCGCAGTCGGTCATGGCACCAGTCCATTCACCTACGATAGCCCACTTGTCGGACTTCTGGAGCTGTCCAGAGCTGTGCGCGCAGACGTTTTGGACATGCGTGTTGACGTCTTTTGTCAGAAGCGAGTTATCGAAAACTTCATAATGATGGTTGTCAATAACCACGTTGTCCTCGGACAAAAAACCATTCCAGCTGTCCACTGGGTTGAACCCGTCGTGCAAGACCAAAGTAGCATCCGGCGTTGCTTCATGAATTCTCTGCTCGAAGTCGCCGTAGTACTGGCTCAAAAGGTTCCTGTCCACACCACCGGGGATGCTGGGTTCGTTGAGAGCCTCGAATATGACATTGGGGTATTCATAGTATCGATCAATCAATCCCTGAATCGCGGCGGTTGTCCGGTCAACAGTGTCTCCTTGTTGCCATTGAACAGGGCCTTTGCGGCCGCTGTTGTCAAATCCGTTCTGAGAGCCCGGAGCTAATCACATCTCGTCAGCCGCAATCTGATTGTGCTTGGGATAAAAAAAAAAAAAAAAAAAAAAAAAAAAAAAAAAAAAAAAGCAACCATACCTCCATGGAGATCGATAATTACTTGGAGACCAGCAGACTGAGCCCAGAAAACCGCTTGGTCAAGAAAGTCCAGCTGGCCATTGACGTAGGGCTCATCATCGTTGAGCGGGATGACAGCCCAGTAGCCAACAGGGATTCTGACGTGAGTCAATCCAGCTGCGGCAATTTCCTCAAAGTCATCCTGGCCGACAAAGCCCTCCCAATGCTCCAAAAGTCTGTCCCTAGCTTTTTCCTTGCCCAGAACCTCCGTGAGTGTCCACTCGTCAACGGCTGCGTCCCCTACTTCCTCGAATATTGCTGGAGTGATCCATGGTTCTAGCACGAGCCAACCGCCAATATTCACACCGCGGATCTTGTCAACGTCGTAATTAACCGAGGGTGCATGAATTTCGTCACTAAGACAGGGGTCAGTAACGTCGAGACCAGAGCGTGCGAACAACTTACAACACACCGAGAGGGATAGCACCTACCACTGCTGCTAAAGCAGACAGCGTAAAAAGAGCCTTATGCGAGAGTTTAGTAAACATGGCGAATGGTTCGATCTCGTGTAAAACGATCGGAATTGAGAATGATCGTGGGACGGAACAAATGGGGAGCCCGGTGACTTAAATGGACAATCGCTCGACAACGACGATGACAACTAGTTGAATCTAGACAAAGCAGGCTTGCAGTACCAAGGTTCTGTTCGTCCAAATGCGGCCTGTTTTCGAACCTCTTGAAAGACACGCTCGCTTGATTGACCGATTGGAAACACAGGCCCGGGGAAAGCGCGTAAGCCAAGCTGAAAGCAAGACAAAAGTAGTAGCGGATATATAAAAGGAATGTAACAATGGTGTCCCAAGCCTGGAGGAGGAGAGGAGCACCGCCTCCTCTGGGATCAAGGAAGGGGAGTACTTGTCGTGGAGTAAGGCGATGGCAGCTTGGATTAGTTCCACGCAGCGATCGTGGAGTAAGGTTGAATTCAATCTCAGATCACGACGGGCGCGAAGTCTGAGGAATGCTGACAGGCACGCGCCTTCCTCATCCGTTAGCTTTCCACGCAATCAGGAAGGAGCAGCGCCATTGCCAATCGAACCGCACCTGTCGCTAGGTATTGTCTTATTTGGCAGTAACGCCCAGGCTTGGGAAGGGAGTCTGGGAAAAGGGTACGTGTAAGCACACTTGCAAGGCATGGTAGTATATACTAGACTTGGCTCAATGTCACCCTTGACAGGAGGTGTTTAGTACGCAGGAGCCCACCCTGTCCGGTGATCCCTGGAATGTGCCATTATGTGAATTCGGACTCGCACTGCAAACGGAAATATGCAATTTTCTTCTGGGATGACAAAGAATCATTGAAGGAGAAGACGTCAAGTGGTGACCTCGTGGTGAAGGTTCGTGTCGTCGAAGAAAGGGAGTTGTATATCGTCACGTGTACTACCGGATGCGGACAACCACCACCACTTATTTACACCCTTTCTGGTCCCTGTTCTTGTCCTAAAGAACATCTTTACTTGATACACTAATTGTTTGAACGGAATCGGTGATTTCCGGGCCTACGGATTACCCTAGAGAAACAGCCCTGGTTATGATATGACCTATCACAATGTTCGCGTCCTGCAGCCGTGCACAAGGTACTACCCACAGAGGCATGATTTGTCCGTAGGTATTTACTCAGGCCTAGACACATCGCAGCTTGGTAAAAAGCCCTCGATACCGAGTCCAAGTCTCTCCCAACCGTCGAACTCAGTGAAAAACTTGACTGTAGCCTTAAGGTAGAAACCATCCTTTCCCCCATAAGTCTCCTCAAATGCCCTTGGGCGCACGAAAAACCTTGAAGGAATGCGAGTCTTTGAGACACCTGTATTTAAGTGAGTCTATTATATAACCGCTTCTCAATCACGGCCATCACCCAGTTCAACCCTATGGATCAAATCGATAATGTCAACCTCGAACACCGGCCCAAGCCGACAAATGTACACCATAACAAACAGCGTGTACTTTCTCAAGGTACACACCCGTCGCTTCCCCGGATATTAATGCCACAGAATGCGAAGGCCATGCGCTGGCGTCATAGTGTGTATCAAGGAGAAATCGAACTTGCGTTCTCGGCCGCGGTCCCAATATCCAGAAAAAAGGATACGTAGCAAAATTACTCTAGTTGATGAAAGTCCTCGGACCAGAAAAGAGATATGTTCGAAGCACCTCCTTCCAATTCCCATCATTACGCTTAACCTCCTGATAAAAAAAAAAGTCCACATAAGCGACAGTATAGCTGCACTTGTCATGAGCAGGAACCGACAAATATCAGTCATAAAATGCAGTCCCTGGTCTAGAAAATCCCTCCAATTCTCCCTTGTGATGACAGCCCTCATCAATTAGAATAAGTGTTTGTTTTCATGCCCATAGAGTTTCTCCAATTTTTCAATTTCAGCATTGAGGAAATACATTAACTCCAGAAGCTGCAATTGTCAGGAAAAGAGGATCATGCATACAAAAAAGGGACGGTGACATGCGTAAGGAAGATAGCTATGGAAAATTAATCTGGGTTTGCGCAGCGGTGCCACAGCAGCGTGGCCTTTCTAAAGAAGCCGATGCAGGGTTCTAGCATGCCTGTAGTTTATTTTGCCGTGAAGAATGGATCAGGCTCAGCACCTTCAGGTCGGTACTCGAGACAGGCGTACGGTTGAAGCTGCTGCTTTTTCGTTACTCGACATGGTTGTGATATTGTATTGATTCCGACACTGTGGTGGACCATCTCGAAATGCGCGTGTCTTTTTGATAGACTGATGAAAAAAGGAAGAGAGATAGAGAGATAGAAGAGGAGAAGAGGGGCATTTCACATTCCAAGTTACACTGCATTACGGAGTACATTGCAATACATGTAGTGCATATTAAAAGCAAGTTGCCAAAACCCGACAAAAACCGCCAACCCGGCATAACAAACTTATCTGATAGTTTGACCATCCTCGGAAAACGGAATTCTTATAGACGATTAAAGTAAAGTGGCACACTAAGTGGCTCTGATATGGTGCTAGTTACATATGTATCATTATTTATGGCAACAACTGCCTTCAACGCTCTGTACTTCGCGTATACATGTCTCACTCTTCCTAAAGCCGACGATGCACTTCTAAGCATAGCATTTGGAAAGGAACAGAATTTGCTATCCAAGGGACCATCTACTCCGTACCCCGGACAACACTTTGTATTTAGATACACGAAGTTATCGGCCCCTGTCGGTTTTTGTCGGTGTACATTGCAAATCAAATATAGAATAGCACAACGCAATAAGAATCCATAGCTTGGGATCTTCAAGAAAATCACGTTCCCCATTTCCGGTCCCTTCCTTCCTTCCTCCTCCTATAAAAGACTACTTTTTTCTCTATCCCTTCTATATGCCTGAGAGTAAAGTTCAACGAAGACGTTTGGCTCTATTGGGCGCTACGGCGCATACAGGTCGCTAGATCTTGCATAAGCTCCTCTAGGAGTCAATCCTTGGATCGATACCATCGTTTATGTTAGCTCCAGGACAAAGCCCGAATCCCTTTCCACCTCCTTCTCTTCCCCTTCTGCCTACCCCCGCTTGACTACTTTCCACAGCAGTCTCAAAGACAAGAGCTTAACCCGCGAATTCCTGGCCCAGGTCGACACGATAATCTGCGCCTGAGGCGAAAACGAGAAAATCCCCAGCATCACTGTGTTACAAGACAGCGTCATCATCTCTCAGAAAACAACGACAAAACTAAAAAAAATACCCCCCCGCCTCCTCTCATCCGGAACGTGGAACCCGTGCTTCGCAGCGACCCGTCCCGTGTTGCTAGATTGGATAATCCGGAATGCCTTAAGACGACCTAATCAAAGCACAGAGAATGCTCCGCGCTGCACTTTCACTTGTCTCCGTACTCTTAGCCCAGCCTAACGCACTATATGAAGAAACAGCATCTGCAAGCATTATTAGCACTAATCCCGCGCATATAGCCATGTCCTATAAGGATCTGGCAGAATGGTTTGTGTAGTTGGCTACTGGGAGGCTTGCAGACGATGCCGTTGGGACTGGTGTGGAGAGGCCGGTGTTGTATGTGCCGTTTGTGTTGGGGAAGGTGTTTGAGGGGTTATTGTTTGAGTTTGGGCTGGGGTATTGGAAGGCTGAGTATGCTGTTTTGAGAGCTGTGAGGCGTTGGCAGAAGCTCAAGAATTGATTCTTCTCTTGATCCAACCAAGGGAAAATGTAACGGGATCTGGAGCATATAAGTAAGTCACACCCATAGACAGACTATCCCTAACGAAAGAAAAAGCGTACTTTTTCGCATCATCAATCACGAATTAGGGAACACACCCTGCCCATCACCAAACGGATTCCTTATATCCGGCACACCCCACCCAAATGCCATCAACCTCTCCACAGACTCCTGCAACATCCCTCGATGCATATCCGTCATCATATCCTGAAACGAGGCCAAAAACCGCTCAATAAGCGCCTGGCAATTTCCCCTCAACAGCACATCCTCACAAGCATCCGCCTCGTCAATCGCAACAACAAGCACATGCCAAGGAGAAAATAAGCGAATAAACCACCGCCACGGATCGCTGCGTTCGTCGTGCCGGAACTGGTCCAGCGCTTGGAGGAATTTTAATGTTAGGAGGAGCAGACCTGAGCCGCGGCGTGTTGCTGTTGGTGGGGACTCTGGGTTTTTGTTACCGCTGCGGATGGGGCGGAAGGAGAGGAGTTGTAGGAAGGCGTGAACGATGTTGACTAATTTTCGCAGGCACCAGTCAAATTGGGTGGTTATTAGCTCTGTTTGGGAGTCTGGAAGGTGGGCGAGGGACTTTTGCCGGAAGGTTGTTGCTACATGTTGGCGACGTTTGGTATCGAATTTTACCGGCGTGGCTTCGGGGGCGTTTAGTTCTGATACATCAAGGGCTCGGAAGGCGCATTGCGCTTCTGCCATAATGGCAAGGAATCTTGTGTCTGCGTGTAAGAACTGAGTGGCGACGTCGCCGAGTTGCATCATGGAGAAAGGGAAGTCGAGATCGCCTGTGCTGGGCGATGATATCTCGGACAATGCGCAGTTCGATCGCAGCATTGGCTCGGAGCCTCGATCAAAGGCAGCTTGGATGTCTAAGATACCAATGACATGCCATAGACGGTGACGCATTTCGCGTTCCAACGGTTTTACTGGGAATGGGGGTTCCGACTCGTGAAGGGAAATAGACTGGGCAATTCGCAAGGCGAGGCCGAGCATCGTCCAGGCCCGTCGACCCTGACCATGGGCGCGGACAGATAACTACAAGTCCGTGAGAAAATGATCCATACAGCGAAACCAAGAAAATCGTACCACAAACAGCACGAACGTCTGCAAAGTCGTCAAATCTTCCGTGCTGATATAATCCGCTTTTTCCAACGCGGACTGCGTGGTTTTCTGATATCTCGTAAGGAGGGATTCTCTTTCTACCCCGAACATATGGAAGCACTGGTCATCGCTGATGGTGCCGATGGCGAGGTAGCGCACAGCCCATGCCAGTGCTGCAGGTGCAGGATGGTCGGCGTCATAATCAAGATACGGCTTTTTGCTAATGAAATAATCACTGAATGACCCACAGTGTAAGATAGGGATGAGAGAGTCCACCCGCTCCATGTATATCGACATGATTTGTCTACGGTGGTGCAGCTCTTTGTCCCAGTCCTCTGGCTCGGGGATGGGAGAGGCGGTGTCCAACCAAGTATTCACATGACTGTCCGTCTGCGACAATATCAGCGATGATGTATCATTGGATGAGAGACACTTACCTGCTGATTATTCCCATTGAGAAGGCGATTCTCGGCAAGCCCCATGCCAACATCCCACAGCGAAAACCCCGGAAGAACCGACATGCCTCCATCCCCAGCCGAACCATAAGACGCCTGCCCGCTATGCACCAAGCCCTGAACGGTATGCTCCAGCATCGACATGCGCTCCTTCAAATCATCGGAACCATGGCCATTACCATTGACGCCATGGCCGTCGTTGGCATCCACACTGTTATCGACATTTGAATTCGCACCCGCGCTAGGATTACTCTTCTTCTTCCTCCCCCCTGACCGACCTCGCGGGAGCCGCGCACGCTCAACAGGAACACAAGTCGTCCCTGCATTCCGACAAGCTGTGCAGGGACGCAGTTTATCGCATTTAATCTTGCGTCGCTTGCACATTTCACACGTCAATTGGGCCTTGGGACCCAGTGGACCCAGACCTTGCGCCGCCGCCGCAGGGGGAGGAGGATCCATGTTCGTTTTTGGGGCCAGGATGCGCGGATGCGAGTTCTGAGAAACAAAATGCGCGTTGCTTATACGATAGGGAATCCGAACCGGCTTGGTTCACAATGATATTCTTGACGTAGTAGTATTGGTATTATTGGTATTATGGTCAGATAGAACAGGCTTGCAAGGCTGGTGTATCGCATCCAGACACTGGGCGCGCGTTGTTGCGTCTGGTCTGCCTCCTGCTTTTACTCAGCTGGAGCAACAAAGAGATGTGGCGCTCGTGTTCGGAGTTTGGGATACTCCAGAGGCCGAGCCATTCAGCGCGCGCTGATGGCTAGTATAGAGGCTGTTTCAATGATTGACGCCACAGCAATAACTAATCCAGCCATGGCAGGTTGGAATGTTGATATAGTGTACTCTATACATAAAAAGATGATTCCGACGACGTGCATTTCGATCGACCTGAACCATACAAATACTCGATATGCGACGCGACTAGTCGATGAGAAATCTCCGCACAAAGTCCGGAACCAAAATGGCCCACGTTCTCGAACCACCTAAGACATCCCTATAAGCGCCCAGATAATGAACGATGGAGCTGAAACATGAATCTCAGAATCGCAAAGGAAGGGGAATGTGTGGATGCCATTTCCTCATTCCCTGAAGACGATCTGTGGTTGACATGTGTCGCATAAATTATGTATCCAAAGGTTATGTACTCCGTACAGAGACGGAACCATCGGACCCATCATCCAGAGCTTCGAGAACAAAAAAAGGATATGCGCCGGGGGTGTCTTCCCCTTTTGATCCAAAGGATTCAACAGAACCGGTTTTGAAAAATTTTCAAGATCAGACCATACGAATGCACATTGCTGAGGTTGGTATGTATATGTTCTCGTGAGCCGTCTCCACAATCATTCCACCATATTACTATCTCCACAGGATGAACTATTGTTTCTTGCTGTCCAGGATCTCAGATAGCATAAAGTGCGCATGCTGCAAGGATACGAACTCGGGATGATATACTGGCGACAGAAGTGAAGACACCATCCCATAATAATCCGGACGATATATGATCGACAATGACTTCGTCTTCAGGAGTAGAGTACGAGTACCGCTGTCACGGCAATTAATAAACATAAAAATGGCAGCGGCTCAACGTCCAACGGATGTTTCAAGGGCGCACCCGAGACGCCCCATGGCCCTGACTTTTTATTATCGCTAGACTCGGAGCATAACCTGTCAATGCACGATAAAAATGTCCACTAGTTTCTCCCGTATATCGTACAGAGTGCTCCATACGGAGAATATGCAGTTTTCGACTCGGGAGCTACTCCATACCCCTATGTACTCTGAATAATACTAATACTAGCATCGGCTGTGCCATCATCGAAATCGATCGGTTCTAGTTCGGCCGAGTCTAGCCATTCGGAATCTGTCCATCGCTAATACAAACCGCATATTGCAGTGTATGTGGACCGATCGCACCAATTTGATTCGAACGGAAAGAAACATGGACATGTCATCCCTGTCATTTTAGGTGCTAGCGGTGGCCTGGATTTCGTTTCTTTTTCGTCCCGGTGACCACGGTACCATGTGTTTCAGATTCGGTGATGGAGGTGCTCGTTGTGGGCGAGTCAGACCACCTACAGATCGGAGCCGGATCGGGTGAGATATGTGGTGAGGGTGACGATAATGCTGACGATAACAGTGACCTTGCGGTTTTGTGGGTTAAGTGTTCCCGTCTGCAACCTGGGTTGCATATATAAAGGAGTTTGGTCCGCTGTATTTTGGATCTTTATTTCCAGACCCTGTTGACCACGAGTCAAAAGAACAAGACCCTGAAAACCCCAGTGGTTCGCGAATATAGCTTTGTTTAGATCACTTTTTCAGTTTGCCTGAGCCATGAACCCTACTTTTGATACCGACCGGCCTATAAAGCATGTCAGTCGGAAGGCTATCTATACTCGACTGGAAGCTCGAATCGATTATCTTAGGAGCTTCCTCGACTTCAATACAGGTGTGTTATTTTTTTTTCTTTCCTTCTCTAGCTGAGGCTTGGTAGCTTAGTTTTAATAACATCAGATGATATCGAGGCCCTCGAATCCGGAAACAAATATATTAAAGCATTAATCCCTGCTGTCGTCAACATGGTCTATAAAAAACTCCTTGAGCATGACATTACCGCGCGAGTATTCATGACATACGACACTTCGAACGAAAAACCCATCGAAGACTTCTTCAACGAGGAGAGTCCCCAGATTAAGCGGCGCAAGATGTTTCTCCGCTGGTACTTGATCAAGATTTGCTCGGACCCGACACAGATGGAATTCTGGCGATATCTGAATAAGGTTGGGTGAGTGCACTATTTTAACTGCTTTGTGCGACCACCACTAACTATGGTCCTTGTCTAGAATGATGCACTGTGGTCAAGAACGGTTACACAAACTCAACGTCGAATACATCCACATCGGCGCATGCCTTGGCTACATCCAAGATATCTTCACCGAAGCCCTCATGTCGCACCCCCGTCTGTCCCTGCAACGCAAAGTCGCTCTCCTCCGTGCAATCAATAAAATCATCTGGATCCAAAACGACCTCTTTGCGAAATGGCGCATCCGCGACGGCGAGGAATTCGCCGATGAAATGTCCGAGGTCATCATCGACGACAAGGAAGGGTATCTGGGTGAAAAGAAGATCCTTGGTGACGGGAGTACATCTGGCAGCTCAACTGATGATGACCGGTCGAGTTTTAAGAGTAGTATTGCTCCGTCTGGGCAATCGATAGCGCCGTCTCCTGTGTGTCCGTTTACAGGTGCTTCGAGGGGGGACTCGGGTACGGAGACGAAGATTTGGGCAGAGTAGATAGATTCGATTCCTTAAAAAGCGAAGCATAGCGTCGGGTATTTTTCTATAGCGTTATTGTTCTGGTCGTGATTGTATAAGCATACATAATACTCTACCTTACAGTATCAATGAACTGATTACCCAAAGTGGAAAGATGCATAAAATCCAGTCAAGTAAGCCAATAGAATCATGCATAACAGATATGTGTGGATATGCATACCGCTTTCTGTTCCTATTGGTGGAGTATTCTGCCCTAATGCATTTTAGGATTAGCGTACATTATCCCTGACCTTATTTTGTGAGTTCAAGACTAATACGAGACATTATTATGCCTTTATAATAGAAAGAAACACTGTCTAAGACTGTGTACGAGGAATAAGACTACAATTGAAGTGAAACGACCAACCACCAATCAATCCTTAGTTTCTTAGTGCTGACAGGACGGGACATAAGAAAGCACTAGTGCAACGCTCTCGGCTGCTGTCAACTTTATTTGCCGCGGGGAAAATATGCATAATACCGAGTATAGAGTACAGTGCATATCAGTGCATGCAGCAATTAATACGAGGAACTACTTAGTAGAGAATAGTTCCATTGTAAGCAAACATAATGTTGAGTCAGATTGCTGAGTTGGTTTTACCCCCACGACTCAGGCACTTTTCTTCGGTCGGCTTTCCCCCCTTCTCTTTTCCCCTTTCACTTTCTTCTCTTTTCTCCTTCTGTCCGTTTCCGGCCCTTGCTTTGCTGCTTGTATATATCCAAGCATTGTCCTTTCCTGTATCCTCTGCTCAAAATCCAGTAACCGATTATCCAAAATGACCATCGTCCCTCTCAGCGCTCCCACCGGTGCCACCACCACCACAGCCGGCAAACTCCCTGTCCCCCTCCTCATCAACAACCAATCCATCATCACAGGCAACCAATTCAACGTCCAAAACCCCGCAACCAACCAAGTGGCCGACCTCTGCGTCGGCGCCACCGTTGGCGATGCCCTCCGCGCCGTTGACTCAGCCAAGGCTGCCTTTGCGCCCTGGAGCAAGACCACCCCTTACGCCCGGCGTGACATCCTGCTCCGCGCGGCGGATATCATGGAGTCGCGGAAGGAGGAGCTGATCGCGTACCAGATTGAAGAGACCGGTGCTGGACGGTTGTTCTCGGAGAAGACGTTCGATTTAGGAGTTTCGTTTATGAGGGATACTGCGGGGAGGATCCCGTCGATCGAGGGTGCTGTGCCGTCTGTTTCGGAGAATGGGGAGACGGCGATGGTTTTTAAGGAGCCGTATGGTGTGATTTTGGGAATTGCGCCTTGGTACGTTATATATCTCTTCTGTTAAATCGATCTCCGCTGACGAAACGACAGGAACGCTCCGTACATCCTCGGAACCCGCTCTATTATCCTCCCCCTCGCAGCCGGAAACACCGTCGTCCTGAAGGGCTCCGAACTCTCTCCCAAATGCTTCTGGGCGCTTGGTGATATCTACCGGGAAGCCGGTCTTCCCGCTGGCTGCGTGAATGTTGTATATCACAAGACTTCTGATGCTGCAGCCGTGACCAATGCGCTTATCGCGCACCCGGCTGTGCGGAAGATCAACTTCACCGGAAGTAGCCATGTTGGGTCGATTGTTGCTGCTACTGCAGGTAAATATATCAAGCCGGTGCTGCTGGAGTTGGGTGGAAAGGCAGCGGCTGTTGTTTTGGATGATGCCAATATGGAACAAGCGGCTATGGCTTGTACTTTGGGTGCATTTTTGCATGTGAGTATTCCCTGCCCAGAGATCCTGATATAAGAAAGCGTCTGACGGAAAACAGTCCGGCCAAGTCTGTATGTCCACCGAGCGCATCATCGTACAGAGCTCAATCGCAGACAAATTCCGCAAACTGCTCGCAGAAACCGCTGAAAAGGTCTTTGGCGAACACGCCCCTGCTCCCGTCCTCGTCGCTTCTGCCGCAGTCGAAAAGAACAAGAAACTGGTCGCAGATGCCGTCTCCAAGGGCGCCTCCGTGCTCTTCGGTAACCCTGACGCCTCCGAGACAAACCCCTACAGCATGAGACCCCTGATCGTCGACGGCGTGACCAAGGAAATGGACCTCTACGCGACAGAATCTTTCGGCCCAACCGTTTCCTTGATCGAAGTCGACACCGAGGATGACGCTGTTGCTTTGGCCAATGACTCCGAGTATGGTCTGACCTCTGCTGTCTTCACGGGTAACCTCTTCCGGGGACTGCGCGTGGCTAGACAGATTGAGTCTGGCGCTGTGCATATTAACTCGTTGACTATCCATGATGAACCTGTGTTGCCGCATGGTGGGTACAAGAGCAGTGGATTGGGACGATTTGGTGGAACAAAGGGGTATGAGGAGTTTTTGCAGACGAAGACTGTTACTTGGATTGAGCCTTGAGTTTGTTGTGACAGCTTTGCAGGACTTATATATAGCGTATAGTTGTAAATAAGCGATGAATGAATGATACCCTGGGTTTATATATGTTATTCTGTTGGTATTCACTTAGTGACTGGTGCGTTTAATGAATGGATGAATTGGAGTATTGGTTTGAGTATGTCCTGCTAGGGTTGAGCCTTTTTTTTCTACAACATCAGCCCTATCATCAAGAAGAGGAACATGTCCTTTTTCTGCACATGACTTACTGCACGATCAATAGTTACATCCTAAGCAAGAATCAGATTTACCATGCCCGTACCTGATAAACATACTTCGCAACGTACAACATTTATCGATACGCTATTTATTCCTTCCAACCAATTCAGAGACTGGGGATTAGCTGCTAGGCCATAAATCCCGACCAGGAAGAGATAACTACAGCCTATAATCATACGGACTTCTAAAGTGCTCCATGATCCTGGGCCTGCAATGGTCTAACTGCTCAGGTATTTCTGCAGCAAAGTATCATACCCACAACCTATGCTTTTTGGCTGAATGTGAATTCGATACTCCCAGAAATAGACCTTTGGGAGGGGGCAGCGACCTCGTCACTTGAGAATGAAGATTATTTAAACTTTTAGACCGTGTCTATGAGACGCTCTGCGACATCGCTAGTGCTACCTATAGTGATTTGGATTCTGCAAACTTAGTATGTTCGACTGGTTCATCCTGATGAAAGATGGGTTGGAATGTCTGATATAGGCTTGGAAAAAAGGTGTGATGGTCTCAGACAATATGAGTCTATTGGTAGACTATCTAGCGAAAAACTAAATGGAATGGAGAAGAAAAAAAAAAAAAAGCTAGGCTTGCCAGCGTTGCGCTATTTGGTGTATGTGAAAGGGGTTCCTGCCCTATGTTCAAACAGGCCAAAGTAAAACATCTCACGCCGCCGGTGAGCGCCTGCGCTCCGTGACAGGCGCCCCGCACGAGCTATCTCTCCCCAGAGCCACCCTCAGGCGGCTTCTTGTAGCTAGGTTAGGCTAGGGGGACTTTAAATATTACTATGAAAGTTTAGGCACGAGGATTCCTGCACAGAGTGCTTATACGGACGCCTAAAGACCCTCCTACTACTACTTCTACTACTGCCGAAACGGCCACAAGGCGTTCCCACACTTATAGGGAAACTAGCAGCCGGAAGAAGAAGTAATGGATGGTAGACAACAAAGGAAAGGGATGTAAGGTGAAGTGGAAAGGGTAGGGGTGTGTGGTAGTACAACATCGTGACTTCCGTCACTCAAAAACCCCTTCTCAGCGCCGCTAAATCCAACAACTCAGTCTCGACGACAATAGATCTGAAAATACTCTTTTAATCGACCTGGCCAACTAGAATCCATCTCTAAATTCAATTGATGCTCACTTATTTTCTCATCCGTTTGATGCTTATCACCAAATCCTCGTCGCCCTCTGAAGAGCAAGAACCGGCTTCATTGTTTATTATCAGGTTCATCTTGGCTATGGGCTTGATGCCCTGCTATGTCTACCAAGCTATAAACCCTGCATAAGATTTATAGGGTAACTTAGTAGTCGACTGTATCTGGGTTGACAGCCTTTCTTCAACTGTGTTGTGCCGGACACATATCTTGCGTTGAGGACTGCTAGACATTGAGGTTATGCATAATTTGGTGTCGACCGACAGTGGACTCTCTCTATCATATTCCGTGACTGTCTAAGAAGTGGCCTGCGATCCATCGACTCGCCCCCAAACACTGAGAAAGAAATCAGCAAAAGCCCTCGCCCCATCCTCGCCAAATAGCATCTGCCCGTTGCTGTATGTCTTCTTCGCTTTCTCCTTGGAGCGCGCCACCATACTTTCCTCGAACCCCTTCAACAATGGATCCAGCGTTCTTTGAAATGAGGCAGCATTACGTCCAGCACTTTCATACGCCTTGATGATAGCACGGAATAGCAAGAGGGGGTCCAACATGGCCAGGTTGGCACCTTCGCCAGCCCAGGGACACATCAAATGTGCCGCATCCCCGATAAGCGTTGCACTGGTCCTGTGCTCCCACGAATCTCCAATTGGCAGCATATATAGAGGCTTAATATCCACAGTGGCACCCGGGTTGTCGGCAGATTCCTCGTCACACGCGACACCCACCAACTCCTTGATGATGGAGCCAAAGCGACCAAGCAGTGTGTCATCACTTAGAAGACGGCTCTTAACACCTGCGGCTGTCTGTCCTGCTATCCCTGATGAGATGGAAAAGTTTTCATCCGCTGTCGTTAAGAAGATGTAGATGCGGGCTGAGTCCTGTGGTCCGCGCTGCGCCATGACACCGTGCCGGAGGCCAAGTGCCGCGAAGCTACCGTGGCCGATGAGTGTTGCCAGGTGTGGGTACTTGCTTGTGATATGGCGGATAGTCGTGGTGATGCTCTGTATTCCTGTGTAATGTGGCTTCACGTCCGTTAACAGGTTGCGGACTCGAGACCAGGCGCCATCGGCCCCAATAACTAGGTCGAACACCTGCTTTCCGTGGGGACCAAAGTCAAGTATGATATTGTTACCGGTTTCTGTGCTATAGCTGGCGACATTGAGAAGCTTATGTCCCCATCTAATGCCCTCATCCGGTAAACTATCACTCAAGAGCTTCGTGAGCGCATGTCGAGATATTTCCGGACGTTTACTCAACTCTCCTTCATCTGCGTGGAGGATATTGCCATGCATATCAGAAACCTTTTGGGCTTCTGCGCATTCGCCGGTAAACTCGAGAAACTTTTCAGACAGTCCGCATTCTCTGATCGCAGCGAGCCCGGATTCTTCGTGGAGGTCTAGCATCCCGGATGGTTTGGCTAGTTCTTGGTCGGTGGGCTTTTGACGGAGCTCAAAGATGGTGAATGGGATAGCATGCCTGTGGAGGAGGAGACCAAGAGTTAATCCGGCAGGGCCGGCGCCAATGATGGCGATTCTCGGTTGAGATGAGGACATGATGGATTGGAATCGGGGGTGCGAACTGTAGGCGGAATATGAATGAATCGAATACAGTGCTTTGCGAGTGCTTCTTGGTTCATAATCTGAGAAACCGCCATTTCGATGACCAGGGAGAGTTGAGACTATTTATGACCACCAATATCTTCGCCTAGAACTGTCCAAATTTCTCTTATTGGTATACTTCGGGTGGTACTAAAGCCCGACGGACCACATGACCCACTTCTCGGGCAGTAGGACTACCCGAGCCTCCCAACGTCCTCCCTCCGTCTCCCTCATTGCGCACATTTTGCAGCCATGCCCGCGTCCCCGGCACCTTCGAAACCCCAGCGAGTGCTTGCTTGTTTGCCCTGTCAGCGGCGAAAGGTCAAGTGTGATCGCGAGTTTCCCTGTGCTAGCTGCACCAAATTCCGGCTTCAATGTATGCCTGCTACCGCGCCTCGTCGACGGAGGCAAAGGTTCCCTGAACGAGAACTGTTGGATCGGATTCGGAAATATGAGGATTTGCTAAGGCGGAATGGAATTAAGTTCAAGCCACTTCATGGGGATGGTGATATAGGGAAGGACTCGGAGTCTCCTAATGCAGAGGGAAATAATGGTTCGAAGCATGAGCAGCCAGAGTCTTCTGCGGCATCTGGAAACCTTAGACATGAGTCCAATGACATCTGGAATGTCATGAGGCAATCGTCGCATGAAGCTGTGAATGACATCGAGGTTCGAAAAACCTGGGATCAAGTATACCCAGATAATGACAACCTTCTTTTCGTCTCGCGTAAGACGGCTGTCGAGCTTTCTACCCTGCATCCTGAACCAGTCCAAATCTTCAAGCTCTGGCAAACTTACTTGAATAACGTCGACCCGTTGCTTAAGGTTACACACACCCCCAGCCTACAAGGGCGCCTCATTGAAGCTGCTGGTGATGTGGCGAATATAAGTCCTACACTCGAGGCGCTTATGTTCGGAATATACTCTGTGTCCATCACGAGTCTCACAGCAGATGAGTGCCAGGCTTCGCTTGGTTCCTCCAGAGACAATCTTCTGGCAAGGTACCAATCGGGCTGTCAGCAAGCTTTGCTGAACTGTGGTTATTTGCGAACAAGCGATCGTGAATGCTTGACTGCATTTTATCTCTTCCTGGTATGTATGTGCCTTCAAATACTTTGAGAATATCCATTAACTATTTGTTATAGGTTTCAATCGGGCCCAGTACAGATCCCCGGTCTCTGTCCTCCATGTTCGGAGTTGCGATACGCATTGCATACCGCATGGGCATCCATAGCGAGTTAGCTTGTGCCAAGCAACCTCCTTTCGAGGTTGAAGTGCGCCGGAGGCTCTGGTGGTCTTTGAAACTTCTCGATGCCCGTATCAGTGAGCTAGCAGATTATAGGACTGTCGCGCTAGAACCTACTTGGGACTGTAGAATACCTCTTAATGTGAATGATTCTGATCTAAGACCAGAGATTACAGAGCCACCGCCGGCCCAGGGTACATTCAGTGAAGCGCTTTTTGTTGTGGTGCGCAGCGAGGTGGGCGAATTTGTCCGCCACAGCAGGGTTCGTCTTGGTTTTGCCAGTCTTCCCGTTGCAAATGACGTTCTTCAAACCGAGGGCAGTAAACTGGACGCCTTGGAGAAGAATATTGAAGACAAATATCTCAGGTTCTGTAATCCAGAAAACCCCCTCCATTACATGACTATCTGGACGACGCGAACTTACTTCGCTAAAAACCGCCTCTTGGAACACTATTTAAGATGGCCCAACTCATCCACGGATCTAACCGATACCAAACGAGATGTCGCTCTTTGCCATGCCATCAAATTACTTTCATCCGATACAAGGATCATGACTTCACCTCTTACCAAGGGCTATTTATGGCTTACTCGTTTCTACTTCCCACTCCCCGCATATATGCACATCCTCCAAGACCTTAGACGACGGCCTATCTGCAAATACGCTGAGGGGGCCTGGAAAGCCATGAGTGAAAACTTCGAGTCCCGTGTTATAGCTCCTCTAGGCCAAGGAGGGGATAGTCCTTTTCTCAACATCTTTTTTAAAATCGTTCTTCCGGCTTGGGAGGCTCGGGAGGCAATACTCGGGACATTGGGTGACTTGTCGATACCGAAGATTGTATTATTTATTAGAGAGCGCATGGCACGAAAGGCGTATAATGTACGACCTGCAAACAGAGAACAGGAACAGTCTGTTGCAGATATGAGCATGAACGATTTACCCATGTCGATACCGATGGGACTTGGTGACTACGATCTTGGCTTTCTTTATGGCGCAGGAGGGCAAGATATCTATGCAGGGACAAGTTTCGGCATTCTCGGACATCAATTAGACTGGGCGACAATGGACTGGGGCTTTGGTGGTCTTCTCACCTGATAAATTAGAAGACCACTGGGTTTATCATATTTTGGTTCAACATCCCACACAATTTACCTGCATACCCACTGTATGGTCGTTAAAATGCAAACCATTCGTATTCAATGCACGAAGGCGATATAATTCCCTTCAATCAAAGCCTGATGCTGTGCTGATCATCGGTAATTGACCGATTAGTAGCTGGAGGGGAGGGTGAATCCCCGGCTGTTGTATGTTTGGGGCTTTGTCTTTCGATGGCATGGGAAAAGGTGGTATCGCGTTGGATAACTTCTATTTACTACAGCCACGCGTCATATGTATTCATCGCCCTCATCCCAAGCGTAGTCGCAACCGACTGCATCATGCTGTCGAAAAAATGGGACGGGTATATAAAATGTACAAGAAAAAGGTATATTTACACTAAATTCTAAGCAAAAATAGTATTATAATAATCCTCCACCCTGCCACAAATCCCCGTCTGCCCCCTCCAGCCGATCAACTTCTCTTCAAGCTTACAACCCGTCCAGCGGACCTCAGCCCAGTACTGTCTCTCGAGGTCTGTCCCAAATGACTCAATCACATCCTCCGGCGCAGTCCACGCGCGCGTATAGCTCCCATCTTCCTTCATAACGGGGCCGATGGCCCGGAAGATAGTGGTGGGGTTGAATTTGGGGTAGTTTACGTGAACGAAGAATGGGGCGGGAGCTGTGGTTTCTCCAGTTTTCTTTTTCTTCGTCATGAGCAAATAATCGTCTATGGGATTGTATTGGATCGTTGTTGAGCCAGCGAACCCGTTACGTGTATGGCGGCCCAGCGCGCGAATAGATTGACGGACTTGGTAGAATGGTTGTTTGAGTGCTGTAGCGGCAGCAAGAAAGGTCTCTTTGTCGCTTTCCCCAGAAGCTCCCTGTGAGAGGATTGGGTAGTAATATGACGGACCCCAGAAGTTGTAGTAAGTAGCGAGAAGGATGGTGTGGAAGTGGGTTTTTCGGGAGATGAGTACTGCACCGGATTTGGTGGATTGGCGCAAGTTAGGAGCTGGTCTGCCTTGGGAGATAATTTCGTAGAACTGATGAGCTGTTGTTGGGGCCCAGAAATCGGGCCAGGTGACTAGGCCTTTGGAGGTGAATGGGTCGTTGTTGAATATGATCTCGGGGTTATGTATAGGGAACGCATCTGCGTCAAGGAATAGGATATTTTCAAATGAAGAAAAAAGCATGGCAAGCGGTTTGTACTGGAATTTCTGGATCATGCTATGGCTACCCGGCATGACGTCCAGGATCTCCGAGAGCACGACGCACCGCGCATTGAGCGATGGAAGAATAACATCGCAGATATACCCCTCATATTCATTCCAATGCGCCAGAAAAACCTCCATCGGTAACTTTGTGCCCGTTCTGCGCAGCATCCTGAGCGAAGCCACCAATACAGGTAGATATTCTCCACCCGCCGTCGAAACCAATCCGCGCGTATCTGGCTGATACGGCAACGTCGGGATATTGCGCTTAATAGCCTTGACAAACAAGCGATGTGCTTCTCTCATAGCACCAACACTCTCCCCGGACATATCCAACAGCTTGGGTGGATACTTTGCATTCGATGGATCAAAAATCACGGACTCTGCACTACCCTGCCGGAGCGGGGGATCACATTGCGGTGCATAATCTGTCAAAAAGGGGTATAATGTTTGCCAGAGCTGTCCATTCATAAACGTGCTGTCATCGTACTGCTCATCGTCATGCTGCTTGGCTGCTTGTGATGATGTTTGTGATGGCGTCTGTGATCCGGAGTGGGAAAAGAATAACCATGTGGAGATAACCATGAGCCCAAACGCAATTAGCCCATTGCGCTTTCGTTGTCGTGGTCGCGGCTGCCAAGAGCCCCTGGGTATTGCCATATTCTACACGGAAACTGGCATTGAAGAGGGAATAGAATTGGATGTTTGACGACAAACAGATCGGAACGTCCAATCCGCGTAACACGTGATCGACAGCTATTCCCAAAAGGGAAGCGATATACCAAGATGGTAAGTTATATGTGGGGGTGGCAGATTTGTGGGGAATCCATTTGATATCCGTAAGTTAATTGTATTGCAGTGGTAATAGATGCTTGTCAGCTGCATCTCATTTCCGTATGTTCAAAGCAACAGGGAGCAGTGTGTCTCAACCCCTGAATGGCATTACTAGGGCTCAACGCTCGAATAGGCCATGTCGCGATTGCGTAATGATCACCTTTATCACGCCACTCCCGTCTAAAACAAGGACGCATATAAAATTGGGCATTATTTCCAGTCACCGACTATGTCAAGACACTGTAAGGGCAGCTCATTGCGACGCGAGAGGACAAGTAGAAACAACCATCATGCGCCCCAAGGCTACTACGAGTATACCAAGATCCTACCGTTCCATGGAACAGTAAGAGTGGCGTGAGAACACTTGTGGCTGGAGAATGGACGGAGATAACTATCGTCTACGAAGTCGGTGCATCGGGCTTAGCAGATGGGGCTTGGATTAAGAGAACGTTTAAATTCTATTCGGTTGGTGTATCTGCCCACCTCAACGCAACTTGGTATACGAACATGAAGGCCGATACAGGATTGGGCTTTGTTTCAAACATCTGATTGCACGAAAGACAACTATGTTAGCGCAGAATACGTGCCTAAGCTTCTGCTACCTAGTCAAGAACCAGCGACTGTGCAATCTTTAGGCATCCGCTTTGATCAGAAGAGCCATGAGAGACCATTTCAGAAAGCCGTAATAATCGATATTTATGATGGTTACCTCAATCTGGGGGACCAGATTATCATTCGTCTTGGTGATCGAAGACTCGGTGCAAAGGGCACTCGTGCGCAGACATTTGTTGAGTCGCGATTTAAATGGCGGTTCTATATTGATCCCGTTGGGACGTCGTAAGTAGCTTTATCCCAGTACCATGGTGTTCGAGTTGTCTAACTGGTTGGAGACGCTTTGCCCCGATTACTCCCGATTTGTCTTGGGACATCATCCCGGGCACGCCTACAAAGATAAAGACAGTATCACCGCGGCTTGTCAGGAATAGCACTTGATTTGCGATCCATATCCACTCCGAGGATATTTGGGGAAATGCCACTCATGATGTCCCGGGTCTTGAATGGCAACTAAGTATCCAAAAACAAGGGAGCAATGACCTGGTGGTTATGTAGAAAGTTGCGGCTACTGCTGAAGGATGGACGAACAATATTTTTTCGGATTTTGTCATTGACCAAGAGGGCAATTATTTGATTTATGTTGAGCTGAAATCAGCGACGGGTACTATCGCATCGCAGCAATCGACCTCACAGTGCTGCACAATCTTGATACCCCCAAAGTCCTCTTCGGAGACCTTCACGTCCATTCTGATGGCACAGTTGGCACAGGGTCCTCAGTCCACAATTTCCCTTACGGACGTGAAATCGCTGGCCTGGATGTCCTAGGCTACACAGCAAACGACTTCCAAATCACCAAAGATCGTTGGGAATCCACACTGAGACTCATCTAATCTCTCAACAAACCGGACCGATCTGTAATATTCCAGGAACAGAATGATGCAGAAACTCAGCCGCTGGGGGCGGCCACAACGTTGTCTTCCTGGAGGACCCAGCAACCCACCCCCCTGAATTTCAATTTGACTGCCATGGTAATGTGGCTAGGTCTTTTGAAGGACTCGAGAATGGACCCAAGGATCTCGTTCCTGGTGCTTGGCTGCTCGATGAAGTGTACGCTACGTATGCGCATGCAGCGGACAGTCATCTTCTGACCCCGCATGTTGGTGGACGGCGGTGTAACTTGCCCTGGCACCACCCACAACTTGAACGACTTGTAGAAATTGGCAGTACTTGGGATCAATTCAAGTGACTGCTTCGAGACACCGTCCGAGGGGGTTGGAAGTTGGGTGTTTGCTAATTCTGACGAGCACCGTGGAAGATGTGGCGGGGGTGTTCCTGGAACCGCTGTGTTTGGTACCCGGGGAGGGCTTACGGGGATCTTGTCTTCGAGGCTCGATAGAAAAAATTTTGCACAAGCTTTGCGGGAGAGACATACCTTTGTTACTACAGGACAGTGTTTAGTTGGATTGGTCTTAACGAAGAATGGCACTGCAATCCAGGGAGATGAGATTGAGCATCTTGCCAACGAGCCGTTGGGATTAGTTAATCACTTCCTGGGTGATATAGGTTTCTCCTCAATTGAAGCCTTCGATGCTTCAGGTCAGATCTGGCAGCGTCGGCTCTTGTCTGAAACAGACAAGGCACCCACACTTTTTAGAGTGGCCTGGGGCGGAGCCAGATTGTCCGACCGCTACTGCGAAGCTATCTGGACTGGCACGGTCGAAACGCAAAGCGCCATTACCAGAGTGGTACCATTTGGTGGTCTGGAAGATAACCCCGAAGATCAAGCGGTACAGAAAGACGCCCAAACTATTTGCTTCCACAGCCATACCAGCGGAGACGTGGATGGTGTACATGTATACTTCGATCCAACAGCCCTACCATCCCAAACCTCGATCAGAGGTACCATCGGCGGCTATGTCAAAGTTGGTGATGCTTTGACTGGAAATCCGCATAAACCACAGCCAAACTTCCAGCTTGAAGCATCGTGGGATGAGGTCGTCCCACCTGGTGGGAAGTCGATTGGGATGCTGGGCGGGTGCGAGTTGTTCGTTCGTGTGAAAGCTATTCCAGAGATCTCTCTTCCACGGAGAATTCAGTGAAGTACTTCATTTATTACAGAGCGTGATGAGGAGCGTGCTATCTATTTTGGGCGGGAATGGAGTGGAGAAAAAGTTGTGACGAGTCCTATTTTTGTTAGGGCTATTTGATTATCCTAATTCTTTAAACTAAAAAATAGAAGATAGATAAATAAATAAAAAGAGATAGGACTTATTTATTATTTTATCAGAAATTGCCAGTGCGTGCCTACAAGTATACAGGCAGAACTCATAATTTACTCTACGCATCACACCACACCGAGAGCAAAGAGCTACAATTAGAAAACTAACAACAAATGTGCAGTGTTGGTTGCTGGTTTTGAAAATTGCTTTAGATTCATTTGGGCTGTCTGGAACGGGACATAGGTTATTAGAGGTACTTTGGAGAGATCCGAAGGTTGTATAAAAACCCCAACAGCCTAGTGCGTCTTGTACTTTCTATTCAGATTTATATAGAACTCAGAACGACGATACACAAAGCCATCCTTTACGTGATTCTCTATAATGCACCCAACAGCTCCTTCCTCATCCCTACCAGCCTTATGTCCCACCAACCCCACTCACTCCTGGCCTGCCGGTGGAAAGCACAACACCCAAAATCGATCATGAAGATCCGTAACTTGCCTCATGGGTTGATATGGACAATCGTGTTCCTTAGGCGTGCATCGTTGTTCTGGACACTTTTCGCAGTGTAAAGGTGGTCTATTTCCATGGCCTCTTCACAGCTTGTTCGCCATTGATATTTGGGGGCGTGTAAGGCTATATCACCTTAGAAAAACCCACTGGTATACTATATCAGAATTTCAGATCTGTCTGCATACTTGCTGGGTGGTCAAGTGCGAAGGAGCTCGTTGGAACCGTAACAGCACTGTAAAAGTGTGGGATATGTTTTCCCTGAAGATCCTGGAGAGTATTATATGTTTCAACTTCCATGTCAAAATACTCAAGCATGCGACAGATACACCTCTTCCTCAGCTTTATTCTGGGGCTCATATTCTTCTTATAAAAATCGTCCAGTGAGTGGAAATGGGAGATATATTCCACTACTGTCTTTATGGATCAACTGGTGATGCTGTTCCTCAAGCTCTTTACGCCACAGTAAAATCTGGTGGTGTTCTCTAGGCTTTTTAGTGAAGCGACGACTATAGACCTTAAGCACCATGGGCTTGCCCAGCCCCTGCTGGTGGTCGGGGTGACCGTGCAGTCGGACGACCATGGCACAAGACATGGTAAATGGTTCAAAGGCTTCGATTATGGACGCTGTCATAAGTTGTTTTTGTGGTCCGAGCTGAGAGCGATTGTGTTCCCGACTGTGTGAAGATTTCTGAGTCATTAGTGCTCTGTTTCACAATTCCTTCATTGGTAGGTTCAATATGGAACAAAAGTGAGTACAGAAACAAGAAAAATAACAAGTCTCTGATAAGATGTATTGAATGATTATACATGTTTGAAAGGGAGACGTAGGAGCGATCGCGGATTTGCTAGAAAGTCGAGAAAGAAAAGATGCCTGAGAGCTAAGGATAGGAATTACAGCTTGAGACGGTAGGCAACCAACATAAAGTCCTTCGCCATTGTTTTTCGTCATCTCATCCACCATCCTCTGTTTTGCTATCGTCAACATCACCACTCAAGTATCACCATGGTGTTCAAAATCTTCAACAATCCCCATTTCTCCCCCTTTTCCGTACTTCCAGTCGAAGTAGCTAAACTCATAACAGGGTATCTTGGCGACAAACGCGATGTGTACTCTCTACGGTTGACTTGCAGAGACTTTTACTTCATCACAGTTGACCAGTTTGGGCACGCGTGTCTTGAGACAGTCAAGACAGACCTTTCTAAAGAAAGCCTCTTCCGACTCGCTCACCTCGCGCAACACCATGGATTAAGAGGTCATGTGAAGCGTCTATCCTTTACCAGCCCTAATGGAATCTTCGGGGGCAATCTCCAGTGGCTGCGCTACCCAGAAGGTCATTTGGTACTTGGTCAAGATGCGATTCAGCTCTTGGTGGATATCATGGGGTGTCTCCATAGCTGCACCTCGTTCCAGATCAAGCTAGATACGATGGATGAACAGGATGTGTATAGAGATGGATTCCTGACGCATAGTGATATTGTCAATATCTTCTTCAATATTATTGCGTATACAGGGCACCCAGTAAAATCCCTTGCTTTGGATTTCCATGACGGAAATGTCTGCAATTCCATCAACACAAGACGATTGAACCTGCCAGCCCTCCATAAGCAGAGAGACTTCGTCTCTGCGTTGGCGCACATGGAGGAACTGACACTGAATTGCACGATGGACTCCCGAGTCATTGTCAGACTGGGGTTAACCCTTATCCAGCACGCTTTATCTCTCCAGAAGCTCAGAATTCATTTCGACTTGTTCTTTGGGAAGGAATTTATGAGATACCTCACATCAATATATATCTCCGGCCAACTGCACGAACTCAGCCTCGAACGATCTGTTGTATCCGGGGATAATCTGTTGGCTGTTCTTTGCCGAGTTCCTCAGCTTCGCGTCCTTTCGCTTAAACAACTCCGACTAAGCGAGGACAGCAGTATCGGATGGCACACAGTGCTTCAGGCTCTGCTTACTCGGTTACCATACCTGGACTGCATTGAATTAGGGAGTCTTCTACAAGGGTGTGCGCCAGAAACATATAGTCCCAAAGAGGCTTCTTTCCCCAGAGTGTTTGGGCATCCAAGCGCTGGTGCTGGCTTTTCGGGGAAAGTTTACCTGGGTACTCTTGATCCCGACAGTGCAGCGCCCATGGAGATGCATTACTCTGGGCCTTGTATGGATAGGGCTCTGCAGGCCACAATTGATATGGTGACCATATTCTGACCACAACGACTTCACCATGCCCAGCGACGACATGGCAACGGCAACAATTAGTCTGCTATAACTACAATAACGGCGATGGCAACAAACAACAGCAACGACAAAAGAACATCAACTGAATACTAATATCAGCATCCTACCCGTGCCTTTTCTCCCAACGAGAGCCAATATGCCAGCAATTCCAACATCTAACCAATTTTACCATCATCAATGATCTTATTACTTCATCTCATCGTGTCGTCGCCATCGTCATCATCGTGCATCAATAATGCCGCTCCGGCCTAGACATACTTCTGAGGAAGTGGTTGACAAGGTGACCTTGCCCCTGTTCAAGGTCCTATTTGGATATGGATTGATTTTAACATGCCGCCTCATGTTTCGGTAGAAAGGTAATCCTGCTCGTGTTCAAGGTTACGCTTATATGGATCGGATATCCATCGAATAGTGGCAGATAGCTATCTCTATCTGAGTATGTTTATTCCCTTCTATCAGCGATCAGACAAGATATACCTTGCTAACAGCCACTTGTGCTCTTTAGACATGCCATGGGAAAAAAAAAAAAAAAAATAACACGATACATGGTTTCTCGACCAAGGATACGATCTTTTTCCATCGATGTTTTATCCCAATACCAAAGGGGTTTCACCAGATGGTTTTAACGAAGCATCTCTTTCTGCATAAATTATATCGTCTAATCGTGCTTCTGAAGAGCAGGTCTACTATCTTCAATGCTGGAATTATCTTATCATCAATCAAACTATTCACCAGTCTCACCATATCCCGTGAACTTCATCCATCTTTCATACCATGGCCTCTATACTCAAGATATCCCAAAAAAGATCAGCCCAAGTATGCCTTCCCCACTCAATCAACTAACCCGATCCAGCCACCATACCCACGGAACCGACCTTGTATAGAGAAGAAAATTCTCCGAACTCGCAACAGCATCGGTCAAACATCGGTAGAACAAGAATTCAGGGACTGAAACAATAGGGTGTTACGATTGATCGAGGCTCAGGCTAGGGTCAAGTGCCGCAGCGCTTAGAGCGACGATCTGCTCGGCATTGGGCTATTATTTTCTGGGAAGGAGCTCCGCTGGATTTTGGGCGGAGTAGGGAGGTTGATATTTGCCACGGATTAGGGAGCACGGAGTATAATATGGAGGTTTCTTTTTATGTTTCTAGTTTATGGAGGGAGGATTTGCTGATCTGGCCTAGATTTTCCCCTTGGAATGTGCATGGTACTTGAGATCTGTCAGTGGTATCGTCTTTACCAAGATTACCAGATGTGGAGGTGTGGAATGCGCTAACCGAGTGTGAATGGGATTGTCGTTCCATTTTTGGTGTCGATGCCTCTGGATCTGGGTACTTACGGAGTACTCCATGCTTCTGAATCACTTGTGCTTATCGTCGTGCAATTCACTCCGTACGGAGTACGGAGTTGGCACCCATATCATCCTTGGCCCTACGACATGTCTATGTCTGGTTGGCGCGGATTAATCCCGTATAGCACGCGCTGATCTCTACATCTCAGATAGGTTAAGCGTATGTGGAACAGAGACCTACTTTCAGTTGTCTATCTTTGAGAACAGCTGATTCAAAATGCTGTGGCTGTGGCGCTCGTCGTCATTAACGCGCTTCCTGTCTCTTGCTGTGTTTTTGATTGCTTGCTCGACCTTTTTTACACGTTCAAGTCTCCCGCCGCTGTATACCGGTCGCAGCAATGTTCCGCTGAAATATAGCGTTGGTAAGCCGGCCAGCAATGGCCAGGGTTCTTGGCATCCTATTGACTGTCTGGTCGCAAATGCCAATGCAGAATGAAGTGCTTTGTTGAAAAAGGAAACAAAAACCGCAAAGACGGCGGTCAAAGAGTATTGTCGTCGTTGGGGCCGACATCCACCATCTGAGTTTGCTGAACGGTTCGAATTCGCCCAGTCTAAGGTCGCAGTGGTAGTTGAAGGCTTCTTTGACCAGATCCACCATAACCTCAATCCATTTTGGGGTTTTGCACCGGAGGAATTTCTACGACAGGCGCAAAGTTTCGAACCGTCCATCAGAGTTCGCAATAGTATTGCTGATGCTGTTGCAGGGGAGGGTGCTCTGGTTGAATGCATGGCTTGCTTTTGTTCGTTCAGTTGAAGGGCATCTGCCGGATTTGGATCTACCGTTTAACCCGATGGATGAGTCAGGATTGTCGCTCCGTGGGAGACGGTAAGCGAATATGTCGAAAAGGAACGGACCACTCGAAGTAGATGATGGATTTGAATCCCAAGCAACTTTGAACAGAATATACTGCGCTCTCTGATAAGGAAGGGTTTGAGCCATTCCTGCCCCGGTATTATGGCCAGCTGGTGGCCCTTTCTGGGATATTGCCCGTGTTGGCTGTCCGCCGGAAGGTCCAGCACGCAGTGGTAGCCGGATTACAGATATAAACCTGGCTTTGTCTACGGGGATAAACCACTTCATGAAACAACCAGGGAATGGCTATATAGGAAGCTGACTCAGGTCAGGGACGCTTGTTTCCGCCCTGAACTGCAGGCCCTGTTTGGGACTTTTATTGAACCTCCGTCCGTATCGAGGACGCACGAACTGTTTCCTCTGTTTCGAGGGTCTGAGCTTGGCGCCAACAGTGAGATCTTGACCCCACCCCCGATGTACTGGGCTGAAAACGAGTGGTACTTTGGCGGGGATGTCTACGGGGCGAGTAGGAGTTGAAGAAAAACGTGCTTGCCTGGCGTGGTTCTGCAACAGGAGGCCGGCATAGACCTAAAAACTGGATTGGATTCCAGCGCTATCGTCTACTGGGCATGTTGAACACAACATCTGTTGCTTATGCAGAACAGAACAGCGCTCACTTTCTGGATTTTCATCCTTCCCAGCTATGATTACTACAACCTGATCTCCTGTCTCGAAAACCACCTACCCAATTTTTTCAACGGGCATGTCGATCCAGGGTTCGTGATCTAATCTGCTTCCCCTGTGATGAAGAAGGCGAACCTTGCAAGTTCGATGGCGCAGATCCATACCGTTCCTACAGAAATCCATTTTTCGCGGTAATCCCCGGCATGTCCATAGTCCATGGGCGAGCAATACGCGAACAAATATCTCCCCGGCATCGACAGCAACTCATTCGACAGCCGATATCGCGGCTTCCTACTTCCAACCTCGCTCCCATTCAAATCCACCATCCACAACGAATAGCACGACTGCCGACTCATCCCTGGGTGCATTTTGTCCCCAAGGACTCCACCTACTTTGACATATACGGGATCATGAAATGTTCCATTGGATGTACCAATGGGACTGGGCATGATGAGGTTGTTCGGACGATGGCCTTGGATGGTAAGGCGTGGGCGGAGAAAGTGCTCCGACATGAGGACATGCAGATTTACACATATCAGCTTTCGCTGGAGGATGCGCGGATAAGCGATGGTAACCGAGGTATTCTGGGCGTGGCTGAAGATCTGTTGTGAGATTGACGTGGGTTGCATTGTGCTTGCTTGTTTTTACCTGTATCGACATGTTTAATTAGGCATTTTTGGCGGTTGCTTTTTGTGGCCTTCCGAGCATTCAAGGTACATAAGATAATTTCTTACTGAACCCACAATGGTAACTATGCCGATGGTATGCGATCCCCGCAAATATCATGTGACATCTAACGGAGTACGAGGCTCCGTAGTGTACCTGCCGTGATGAAACTTCTGCATCTTCGAGAACAAGTCTTTTTACAAATCTCACGGCTGGGATACGATACGAGTGGCATCTGATCCTGTATGATTATCGCTATACATTATTGCTTATTCGGGGATCAGATGACCCTAAGCAACCCAATTAGGCTATAAAGGTACAGGCACAGGCACAGCGTACATAATGCTGCATAGCATAAATTATGAACAGACAATGAAAATGTTACCATATCTTAACGCGGATATCGTATCTGATTGGCCGACCAAGACCTTGTATAAAAGCCAAAAGCAAAGTTTTTTAGAGATAAGATTAAGGAAATGATTTGGTAAAACACACACAAACCCAGGGCGTGCACGTGGTGGGGAACCGAGTCCTCAGGTCACCTGCGACAAAGACGCCATTGATTAAAACACCTCCATCTCCATCATCGCTCAGCTCAGCTTTTCTTCTTCACCACATTGCCATCATCGCTCAACAGTAAACGCTATATTGACCTTCCCCCCCTGCCCGACGAATTACGCGACCGCCATCCACTACCTCATATCTACGCGTTTGAGAACTTTTTCTGCCAGCTCAAGCGGTCCTCTTCTGTCTTCTGTTTCACGTCCGACTATTAACCCCCTCATCCCTCATCCCTCATCCCTCATCCTTGCTTCAATAACCACCACTTTGCCGTTTCTCATCTACACGCCGCCATCTACACTGTATGGACTGCGGGAGTGCCGGTACGACTGCGGGCATCGACCCCAAGATCCTCGAAAACTGGCAATCCGACTCTGCTTTCTCCATTGCGTCGTGGGAACATCCGCCCGAGTGGGATACCAGCCAAGACTCGAGTCAGGCTGATGCTGCAGATCTGGTGGACTTGGGGGCTCTTCAGGGGTCCTTTGGCAAGCGTCATTCCAATGCGCCGCCTCTGATGGGACAGGGTGTGCATCATCATCCTAGGTATTTTCTTTCCTCTTGATCGAGCCACTTCAATGCGACGGACGCTGATGGATGTCTTTGGTAGTAACCAAGACTCGACCTCGACTTCGACCTCGACTTCGCCCGAGAAATTCAGCGTTCCTGATGGTGCTGTTGAAGGCACTGTTAGTAGTAACACCGTCAGCCCCCGTACGCTTCCGTCGTCCGCCGATGATAATTTCCACTTGGATGAATCATGGCCGCAGTTTCAGTTGTTTAACCCCATTACGGCTGCGATGCCTATCGAGCCGCAGTCCATGATGTATCCGTATGCGAAGGAACCGACCGCGCCGAACAATACCGTGATTGTGGATGATGGCGTCGGGGACCTGTCCAATGGTCAAGGGTTCTCATCCCCGGAGTTCCAGTCTGAGCAGTTTATGCCGTTTTCCAACGTGCCTTCAACTTTCCCGCTTGCTACGGAGCCATGGCCTGAGACTAACCCCGCCGTACCGGAAAATACTCATTTACCGCAACCACAGATGCCGCTGATGGAATCCCAGCTGGCATCGAAGGAGATGGGACCCGTGCGCGACTTCCACGGCTCGATGCGGTCGCTGGAGTCGCGTTGGTTGGATAGTATTGAGGCTCAGTTGCCCGCTGATATGTCCGCCTCGTCCGGTTTTAGTATGGTGCCCCTGGATTCGAGTGTTCAGGGACAGGACCGATTCCAATACAACTCAGAGAGCTCTTCCGTGTCGGATGATGTACCGGGAGTCCACGAGTCGTTCTCGGCAACAAGTGAGGAGATCCCAACCTTCGCGGAACGACAACTGGACGATGAGTCGCAGCAGACTACCGCGTTCATGGTCAGTGAGACACCTGCCGACTCGTACATTGTCACCGGTCCCTCCAGATCCAGAGCTTCATCCGGCGCACAGCGACCGTCCAACAGTCGGACGCCGCTTGCTTTACAATCAGTGGCTACAGTACGCAAGCGCAAGCCGCGCGGCTCAAACATGTCCATAGATCAGAGTCTGCCCAAGCCGTTGCAAATTGTGCAAGAAGATGGTCAAGGTGGATCTGTCGCTTCTGCGGACTTTGTGTCGCCCCCTCGTGGTGCTCGTCGGAAGGGACCTTTGTCGATGGCTGGGAGGGCGAACGCTGGTATGCGGAGGAAGAACAAGGATACTTGTGTTCAGTGTCGATTGAACAAGCGGAAGGTATGTATGCCCCCTTTTCTAAATCAAAGCACGTGCTAATTTAGCAGTGCGATGGCCATTCTCCATGCGATGCCTGCCGCCCTACGCTCCATGAACAGCCTTGCGCCCGTGCTTGTTTTGCCAATATCGTCGAATATGGCACGTGCAACTATATCTGTATGTACTTTTTTTTTTTTTTTTTTTTTTTTTTTTTTTTTTTTTTTTTTTTTTTTTTTTTTTTTGATAACTTACAGCTCATACTGACTGTCTAGCGCAACGTGCGATCAACCACCCGACAATGGATAGATCCGGTCGCGTAAGACTGGAAATCCCCAGCGAATTCGACTTGAATTCTTTGCTGTCATTCCTTGGCGAACGTCAAGGGCGATTCAACATCCGTGCCAGTCAGGCATGGGGATCGCTTTATGTCCTTGACCTAGGAGAGACCTATCGGTTCTTGAAAAGTCTCAGTGAATACAATGGCAACAACCGGTCGAGCTTCCTTGAATTCATCGACCGACGTATCGTCGAGTCGAAAGATAAATCCAAGAACTGGTTGACTTGTGTTAGGGACTGCGATCCCATTAACAGTGTTTACGTGAGTCCCTCCATCCCCTCCAGATGGCAATAGTCTAACAAAAATAGTCACTGCTATCGCAATGGAACAACATGCCCAGCCGCGCAGCATACAGCTTCGTCCCCCTGGACCCCACCGACCAAGAACGTCCAATGGACATCCACAACCCCGAAGACCGTCGTGAAATTCTCCTCGCCGCCCAACTGTCCCGCATCTTCTGCCGCATGCTCGAAGTCGAAGGCTTCCGCAAACTCGAGCGCGACTTCTACAACATCAAATGGAAGCAGATCTCCCACGAGACCCACCTCCGCTTCCTCTCTGAACTAGGCCACATCCTCCTCTCGCTCCGCTGGCGAGTTTCCTGGTGGAAACGCCTGGGTGACGGAGGCCGCGAGCCAGATCCCAGTAAGCAGCACTATGTGGATCGCGTGGAACTGCTTTGCCGGATTCTGTATGTCTACTACACATGTGTTCTAGCGAAGTTGCCCTCGTGGTCGACTTCGGATGTACCCAAGGGAACGTGGTCGACGTATGCGGACTCGGAGAATGCGGTTTGGGATGACTTCCCATTGGATCCTAGTGACTCGGGATTCCACAACTGGATGGCCCAGGGATCGGAATTGATTGAGCAGGCTGGTGTGCCCAACAAGATTTCGAAATTACGGTAAGAAACACATAAACCAAAGGAAATGGCGGATGGATTGGAATGGATATGGATGGATTATAAGATACCCTACAGCGTGATACGGAGTCTAGGATTTTTGGCTATGATTTATGATTTGCGTTTGTATATTTGATATTTTACATTTGATTATAAATGGTGCCAGTCCGTTGTACATGCAGCAACTGTACAGTCCCGACTTGGATAGAATAAATAAATCTCGGTTTGATTCAGTTTATATCATGTTCTTGCTCTGGGTATCATATCCACACCACACCATACAACCCCCTCTTCATACAGAGTACACAAAGTAAATTTACTTCTTCTGATCCTTCTTATCCTTCTTTCCACCAGCCAACATCTCCAAATGCCCCGCCTTAGACGCAAGATTACGCTCCGTCTTCGCCGTATAGCCGGCCGTGAGTTTCTGCCATCGCCGTCAGCTCCATTCACTTCCACCTTTTATTATAACACGCATGCTGTATACAATAGAGGAGAGATGTAGGGGACGCACCCTGGTCATCTTCTGCTGCTTAACGAGGGTATTCTTCTTGGGTGCGATTTGGCGCGGGCCGGGCTTAGGACCGAGGGCGGCGGGGCTGCATTTAGATTTTCGCATTAGCATTGGATCTCTTCTATAGTGTCATGGCTTTGGTAAAGAGAGGATAGGATAGGTAAGTAGCATGCGCAGAGGTAAAACGTGCAAATGCCGGTTCTGGTGCTGGATGGCGGTCCCAAAAAAACATACCGCTTCGACTTAGCCCCCGTGTTAGGCTTTGCCTTTTTAAGTAATCCTTGGGCCATTTTGTTTAATTTCTTCTCTTGTAAGCTTGGATATATAAGAAAAGAATGCAGAGTAGAATGGCAAGTTGTCAGCGGCAATGACAACCAACGGAAGTTTGATGTGATGTTTGGTTGAAAATCCTTATCGGAGATTTCTGTCGTTATCTACGTCACGTGGACAAGTCAAAATTCAGGCAATGAGGCGCAAAGGCAGAAGAGTCAGCAAGGTACCAGCGGAGATCGACCGATTGGGTAAGATGTGTACTTTTTGTAGATAGTGGGTCTTCGGTGTATCCGTAAACGGTGTTTCTGATGTTTTAGGGGTTTGTGGCCTGGTCTAGTCTAGTTAGTCTAGTTAGTCTTGTCCACTGACTCATACAATACGAACAAAAGTGGCGAAAAGAAAACAAAAGCAAAGAGAATACAGAATAGGGAGTAGAGGCGAAATGAAAAAGTTTGATTGACGATATTTTCATAACCTCGTTATTTATAAACTGAACTGAACTACCATTTTGCATCTCCAGGGTCTTCCAACGGGGTTTCCAAGCATGTAAACAAGTATTCAAACATAATTGACTCTTTTCAGGACAGAGAAAGAAGAATTAGAATGAGGGCAACAAAAGTAGAATTGAAAAAATGATCATCAAAGATCTATCACATCACATCCACCAACGCTACGCAGTTTAGAAAGCAAAAGCGGCCAGCATACCAGCAGCGACGGCACCGAGACCAATGGTGTTGCGGTCCGCAGCACCGGTGAACACAGAAGAAGGAGCGCTGGAAGAAGCAGAGCCAGAGCTGGAGCCAGTGACAGCAGCGGCGTCACTAGGAGAAGCCTTGGTGGATGTAGCGGCAGCAACAGAAGAAGAAGAGGGAGTCACGGAGGCCGAGGATGAAACAGCGGCGCTGCTAGTACTGCCGATGACAGGGATGCTGGAGAGAGTGGTAGCCGGAGCAGCAAAGGTCGAGGTAGCAGAGGCCGACGCGGCAGAGGCCTCAGCAGAGCACTTGGGGCACCTAGTAGTCACAAACTCCTCAGTCGAGTAGATGGTGTGGAGGCCATCACCCTTACTCACAGCAGTCTCAGTGGTAGCGGGGGCGCTGCTGGGGGCGGAAGCAGAAGCAGAAGCCGAAGAGGCAGAGTTGCCGTACTCCTCGTTCTTGACGCCGAACTGGGTAGAGTACTGGTACTGGCCAGAGCCCTCGACGACAATCATGAGACCGTAGTGGGTGGTGTCAGGCTCCAACTCGGAGCTGGGGGTCCAGTCGAAGTGGCCGGAGTTGTCAATAGCTTCGGCCAGGGTGTCGATGGGCTGGACGTTGGTGGAGGGGCCGCGGAGGAGGACCAGGGAGATGGGGCCCTTGGTATCAGGATCCCACTCGATGGTGTAGGGCTTGCCGGCGGTAACCAGGTCGTTGAGACCGGGCTTGGTGATGGCATTGCCCGAGGGGGACTTGTTGTAGTCCGGCTGGGTGTAGGCAGAGGCCAGGGCGGCCATGGCCGAGAGGATGGCGGTCTTGGTGAAGAGCATTGTTTTTTGCTTTAAAAAGTACAGCCGGAGCGCTAAGTAAAGAGAATAACAGCGATTGACTCGGTTGAGAAAGACTGGAGTGAGACAGTAAAGACCGAAAGTAAGGACCGTTTGAAATGAGCGACAGTGTTGTTAAGGAGAGAACGAGGCGACGAGAGTCTTCGAGCGTGAAAAAGAGAAGAAAAGAATGTCAGATACGAGGGAAAACGCGACGCTAAAAAGCAAGCCAAATAAGCTAAGAAAACAAGCCCAAAAATTGCCCCTTTGCGAGTGAATGAAAGGAATGCGGACAGACCACCGGCCCATTGGCTCCGACTCACAATACGATGAAATGCAATCTCCGGCCGGCCACTAATAAACTCTCGGCGCCACTAGACCCTTAATATGCCAGATTAACTGGCTGTTTATTATTATCTCTATCTGCCCGATGGCGGAGTTTTTATGCTTGCACTGTGTACTAATTTAGTTTGTCGCCTGCGCTCCGGGGAGCCTCCATTATGAGACATTTCTTGAGCGGAATTTGAACGAAGAACACGCGGGTGGAACTCGATATGGAATGAAGATGGAATATGATAATGCCAAAAGTAACAAGTCATGTCGCGTCAAGCGTTCACATTATGATAGGGCTGAGCTAAGCAACTTGCCGTACATCTCTCTCCAATCATGTCCCTCTCCGAATCCAAAACAACACCTCTACACTATACTCCAGACAAGCTAATTTCGGGCATTGCCTTCCGTGAACTATTAAACATCCCATTGTTCATTTGATTTATGCCATCTGTACTCGGTAAAGTTGTGAAACAAGGACAGTCGATCACGTTGATCAACACCAACGTTGAACCAAATTACAGCCTCGTCTACTTCGGAAGCAAACAGCGGGTCGAATTGAGATCTACAAACAATATCAAACTGATATTCGAATGTAAGACAACGGTAAATAGTATATCAAAGCGAGCTTTGCGCTAAAGCAACAGCACCAATGCTGGCTAGCTGAACCTTGAATCGAGCACTTGGCTGCTGATTTGTGCATTTGCTGTAGGTTACTTCCGCGACAGAAGGGGGAAGCTCACGGCGACAAGGCTCAAGAGAGCCACGAAGAACACGAACGCAGGGCCGACCGCCCCATGTTTCCCTACCTGCTAAGGGAGAGCGCGATGAATGGGTAGGAGGGTGGGAAGAAAAGCAATTTACATCTCTGAGGCTTCACTCTGTAGGAGATGCGCTCCGACCGTCTGGGACCAGTTACAGGATTTGGAAAGGCACGACAGGACAGCGCTGGTACAGGGGATCGCAGAGCAGGATTGCACCACGCAGCTCATGTTGCCTTCAGGTCCGTTCCTCGACAGTGAGGATATAGGTTAGCGTTGATCGGACTTATGCGGCAAATTTACGAAGTCAACAAACTGCTGCTCACCGAGCGGGACGTTTCCTGTCCGATGCTTTAGGCAACGAGCGTGTCCCGTCAGTGCTCGAACGTATGTCAGTGGCTGGGTGGTAACCTTGCCCGGAAATTGAAGGGTAATCGAAGAAGGCTGGCTAAAAGACGGCTTGAGCTCGGGGTGTTGTGTGATATCGTTAAAGATATTTCCAGTGCCCAATCAATTGAAGGAGATATGGCAAGTCTGTCTTTTGGGCACGTCGTCTCGTAAACGATAGATCATGACCACCGGGAGAGTTGTGAGTCCTGCGCCTGTCGACGGCATGGTCAGCGAATGTTGCAACAAGGAACAGGCTAGCCCTGGGAATGCTCACACTCGAGGAGCAAGCAAGCATCTCTACCGGCCTCGCTACATGGTGGTTTGTTAGCTCGCATGTGCCAACAAGGTTTACAGTGTATCTCGATCCACGACGTACATGTCCATAGTAAAATACACACATTTCTTCTCTACTTTTCTCCTCCTCGGCTGGGACCTGCGTCCGTGATTGCACCTATGACCGGGACCTCTTTAGCATTCCTTTAAAGCGTCCAAGTCATTTGCCAACATACGCTTAGCATCAATTAAGGTCTTCGGGAAGGCATCGCTCTTCCGATATTTCGCACGAGCCGAATGATGCCGGACCACTGAGCAAATAAAAAGGGTGTTCTGCTATAGCATTTTTCAACGCGAGTCCCACACCCAATTGGAGAGCGCTTCGGTAGGTCGCCGCAGCCGTATGCGTCTAATGAAAGCTTCCATGGTTAATAACGGGCTAAACATAGGATCATTTAAACATATCCGCTCACTGGTGTGCATATGCAAAAATTGTGAGAACCAGGAGCAGCACAAGTATATCGAGCACCCGATATACGGAATAGGAAGGTGCTGAGCATTCTCTTTCAGAACATTTCCGATGCATTTTTCAGGGTGATAACAATGCTGGAAAATTCCCCGCAGCGTTTTAAGGCTGAGCGAAGCGTGAATCAGATGTGCTGTTTTTTTGTTTCCAACTGCTTATCGAAGGGGATCCCAAGTCATGCGTTTCTTCATGTCGACAGATTTCCCACCTAGATCGTAACGATTTGATCCTGTTAGCCCAACCAGAAAATGTAGGGAATTATGCACTCACAACTGCCCCATGTCTCCGCATAGCACCTTTTTCACGCTCTGTAACGGCTTGTGATATCTTCACGAAAAGAATTCTCGACTTTTGGTTTATCCTGATGTGGATTGCAGTTATTATGTTTTGTCCAGTAAGAAAGCAGACAAGGAAGCCATTAGGCTTTGGTATGGCCTCCTCAGACATTAGGTCCTTGTTCGATCCCCCTCGAGTGTAATAAATGTCGCTGCGGTTACTGTAACCCCCAATTGATATCCCTAAGCCAGGAGAGCAAAATAAGCTCGTCATAACAGACAAGATTTGGCCTGGTTAAGAACCCCGGGGACAATTTTTCTATCGATAATGATGCTTGATGGGATCTTTTCAAGAGAAGTGAGACGGTGGAAATTTGACAAATAAAACCGCCGGGATCAGTATGAACCCCGGCGGTCGGGTGTTGCCATTGGCGGCTATTGTCTCAATATAACAAGCCATAATGGGTTTGCCGGACTTATTATCCCCGTGTATTCTGAGCCATAATCCCTTAGGGTTCCAGACGCACAAGAAACATGTGACGGTTCCTCTCCGTCTGGATACCCCGGTTTAGTGATCCAAGCTACCGACATCCGTAGTTGCCGGAAAGTGCGATTCACATACTGACGCTGTTTAACCCATGACCATTAAGACAAATATGTCGCTCCTTTCTAGGTGCCGAATTCAAGGATCTGCTTATAGTAAAAGATTTTCCACATCTGGATTTCGCATTCGTCAGTGGCAATGGAGCTGGGGTGTTCGTCACCCGGTACGGGTCGATCCTTTAGGTAGACCTTTATCATCATCTCATCACTTGTGATGTCTGAGCTCCTCCCATTTTTGTGATGAGACAGGTGGAGAGGCTATCTGGAGTTGTGAGATAAAGTGATGCATTTTAGAGTCTAGTGAGATGTCAGACTTTCTGCCACATAAGCTCAGCAATAAGAAGAGATATAAAATCATACCTTATAGGAAGATTTAATAATATCTACTTCACTGCGGTTCCGTTTCTTCTTCTGCCCACTATGTCGAGGTGATATCAGGGTTTAGACATCCGGGCCTATTTCCGACAGAGAAGCAAGCGGGTAGGGCTTGTAAAGCCGAATGAAAGAAAAAAACAATAATAGGCCGGATGGTAAAAAATTGCCGGGGCATGATTGTTTAGAATTAGAAAAAGGCATGTAGAAAGATGCCGGAACTGAGTCTAAGTAGTCGATGATTACATTGTTGATAGTAAATGACCGGTCCCTTGTTCTCTACTACTGCTAATTCACTTATGGTATTTTATCTCCAAATAACGTTGATGTTGTCCTTATACTTGAGAAGCACCGTTTCGATAAGCCCTACTCACGCTTCGGAGAATCCCAGTAGGCCTGAAAGGGAGGATTCAGCAAAACAAAAAATAGGGTAACTATTTTGTATAGCAGTAGCAAAAACAACCAACCAACACTACTAGCTAATTGAATATCCCTTGTCAGTCAGTACTTTGGCTCATCAAAAAGATGAGACTCGCATTAAAAATACTAGTCAGCTCCCGGCGGGGCTCGAACCCGCAGCCTCAAGATTTACATATATTTTCAGACTAATTTATCAGCCAGAAAAGAGCCAGAAGACTCATGTAGAAGTCTTGCGCGCTACCATTGCGCCACGGGAGCACGATATGCTGGGTCTCGCCAAATATCTTTGTTTATAAAAATATTAATGAAACCGGGCGAGTGGGTCCGCGTATACTATAGCATTGTGTGTGATGAGAGATCAGATAGAAAGTCACAACTGGGTGACAATACAATTGTTGTTAGATATATTTTCATACACCCATTTATTCCATGTCTAATCAATATATCAGACACCAGTTGCTTTCTACATATCTCGGCGAATGATCTATCGAGTTCTTCTAGCGAAGGTACATTTGCCCTCCCAGCTTCCCATTCTCCCCCTGACCGAATCATCAAAACACACTCTGTACATCGACGTGCGAGTTCCCGATAGAAAGAATCCTGAATTTTCTTGGCCTGATCCAGATAGGATGCCTCGGCGGTCTCTGGATACTTCCACGGCCAATGGCTTTCGTTGTGTGTTCCCCGGACTTGATAGTTGACGTTGAGGTCCTTATGGAGGCACTCGAAAAACTTCTAGCAGGGCAAACACAAAGGCTCTAAAGTTCCGATGTAGGAGAACGGGGGGCGAGATATCTCCTTTTAGAAAATATGATATGAGGGCACATTCCCAGTGCACAGGTGCGGGGACGACTGGCGTGCCGTTCGGATCCGCGTAGTAGTGCTGCATTATGTGGTATCCAGGCTTTCCTTCATTATTTCAATATGATACTTGAGATGAGAGCGTCGAATTCTCAATTAACTTGTAGTCTTCAACGCTAATGGGAGTTCGAGGTTGCATTGTTTGCTTGGTACACATTCAATTTCCAAACGTTTCCCGTAAAGGAAGCGAGGGCGTGAACTCGAAATATTGTGTACGTAAGTGAAATTTCAATCGAGCTCGTAAGAGGGGTGATCTCCTTGAGGTAGCGAGTTGTTTGAGTATCTATACTTGGTTAGTTGTGAGTGAAACGGTCCATAGGCGACTCAACTAACTGGAGAAATAGTCCAGATGATGAGGTTCATTAACGCAGTCGCCAAGTATTACACAGACTAAAACATCGATCATGTCAAATTAAAGAGAGAAATCCCTAAAGCCTTCTCCTTTGGGTAGCTTGTTGGACGAGACAGCGAGAAGTTCGAACACAGAATCGAGAGATTTGACAATTTCATCCAGTGATTGCTGTGATTTACCCGAAAGTAAGTTTTTATCTTTGATCAGCTCCAGCTTGAGAGGCTCAAGCCCAGTGTTCTCTAACGATCCTCCATGTAGACGCTGTGGTAGCTTTTGCAAAGTGTTCATACATATATCGCTTGAAATCTTCGGCTAGCAACCTTTGCGCCTCGAATAACTCTGATAGTTTTGGAGGAGGAGCATCGTCACTCTCATCTTCTTGATCCTCCTCCTCATCAGCATCATTATCATCATCGCCATTACGAGTCAGAGGACACTTTTGCATACGGGCATATTCATCTCCAAGCGTGTCCAGATGTTCCCATATACGTTGGATGTGCTTTATTGTCTTCACCTTCACGTTAGCATTTGTTGTTATGGTGAAAGTAAGTTTATCAGGAACCATGCGCGCCGCAACTGCGAACACTTCCGATTACTCCGACAAAAGGACATCAGCTAGGACATCAAGAGCTTGATTAACACGGTAAGATGAAGGCTCCTTATGCTTTTCATATATTGGTCAAAAGCATACTCATAGGTTTCAAATTTAGGCTGGGGATTCCGGATTAAACCGATCAAGTGTTCTGCCATTTTGAAGTGTGGATGATGGTCGAAGTCGAGAAAAGGAAAAAAAAAAAAAAAAAAAAAAAAAAAACCATGTATTATGTAGGCTGACCTGCTATCGCAGGCAACGATACAATTGCAATATGTGAAACTTGCACCATATGCTTCGAAGGATAGATAGATTGTCGCAGGAATTCCTTAGTTGCATATGCTATATCGGTAAAACACCGTCCTGTACATAGGCAGGCAGTCTGCAACAGTCTTTGACACGTACATCTACACGGGATATTCAAAACGCACCCAGCAGTCATTAAAATTGAGATATTCATCCTTCAGACTACTCCCAGCGCAGCTGGGTATCCCAACATGACAGAATGTTTTATTCAGTTGGTGAGTGACATGCATCGCGCTTGCACTGACATCCACGACATTCCAAGATTACCTAAGAATGGCAATCGATTTGGCTCTGTACTGGACTCTCTTGCTACGATTCTCATTTACCAAGAGTCAAAAGAAGTGATCTCGCTAGGAGTCCGAATGGGCCCCAACAATCACATCTTGCTCTCCATAGCAAACAGACAACAAACCTGTTGGTCATAATACCGCAGCCCATTTATGAAACATTTAGAAGCATCTCATCAAGCTCTCAGATGTTTCGCATGGCCAAGGAGAATAATCGCGCAACCAGAGATCATTCGGAAACCACCACTGTATCCCCCAAAGCACTAGACTTGCATCTTCTCGGTCCTGATACCAAGGAGGTTCATGACCTCAAGCGTTGTATATGACTACTCATTCCGGAAATTTCTAAAGCAATTTAAAAAGGGCTCTACACCTTACGGATGGTTCCATTCATTGAAGGCCCTCCCGGATAATTTGCAAAGAAAAACTTCCTCGCGTGTTACAGTGCAGGATTAAAACGACCGACGAAGAGTATCATCGAATAATTTTAAGTCGTCTATAATCTCTTTGCAACCGGCCAGAAATTGCCTGATTATTTAGAACAATTCCTTCTCGCGAACTAACTAATTGGCCACTCAGGAAGTCTGGACTGTAATCGAAGACAAAAGAGCTGTTTTAAACATATTGTCCAAGGACCCCATTTCTTCAAACTTCACAAAAAAGGCATTGTCTCTTACTGGTTCTATCGATGTAATTATGCAGCTTCTAGTTCTTCTCGACTCCAGCGCCAGCTCTTTTCCGGACAGGTGCTAATTCTTGACCCTGTGCCTAATCTCAAAGAGACAATCAAGTTCCCGTAGATAATTCATGTGTATCTAGAACTGGCAAGGCTGGCACCATCCTCTCAGCACCACTAGTTGCGCTTGGTTTCCGGCGGATTCAGGATTTATTGTCCACCCTAGAATACCAGGGACCCAGGGACAGTGACTAACACCAAATGAAGGTATATAGGATGATCCATCTAACAAAATGAAAAGTGTATAAAAAGAATGTACGGATTTAGGCGTCCGCGCCGCTTCTGGTAGAATCTTTTTCTGTACAAGGCGCTCCAGTATTTTTTGAGTACCAGGCATCTCCTTTGAGTCAGCGGAGCTGCCAGACTGTGTTGGTGGTTGTATATTGACAGCCTTGAGCCCTGGCATTTTCCAGCTAGTTCACAAGCCTGTGATCGGTGAGCAGATCTGCTCCCACACCGACAAGATTACCCCGTCTGTACGAAGGAATATAGCCTGGCTCGAAGCTCCTGTCCGCAATTTCGACAGACCAAATGCGAATCCCGGTTTGGGAGATTGAGGGGAATTGTAAGTAATTGAATAACTGGATTAATATCTCGGCGGTGTTGATTCTTATAACGACTAAGACCAAGGGCTTTCAGGTTCCGCTGTAAAGCCATCTCTAAGCCGAATATCGTAACATCAGTTTTGTTTGATAAATGACTGTTTGTGCAACTCGATCTGGTGTAGGCTCGTTAGTACACTAACGGAATACCGTAGCGTACTCTGTTATTGCATGCACGTGAGTAACAGTATAGTTTAGATAATTTATCCAAATAACAGCATCCGGAAATGCCAAGGCAAGAAAGATGGAGAGTCATGTCGGCTCCACGTGAAGAAATGACGTTTTATAGGCACCCTTCACCAAAGCACATGGCTGTAGGGCTGCACTTTATTCACCGGCTTTTCGTACACAAGATATGGATCTATAGGGCATCATGTAAACTTTGCCGTACGCCTCTGTTGTCTCTACTAACCTATTCTCGGAAAGAATTACCACTCAGACACTTACTAAGATTCTCTATCTCGCAATACAATGTCTCTGAATCACGATAATAATTATCTCCATCTTCCCTCCAGCTTTTCCCGATCTCAATTCCCGACTTCACCGCAGACTCTTTTTGGTTTGCCGCGGTCTGGTCATGTATTGTCATTACCATACCAATACCTCTTCCACTTAGCCAAACCGCAATATAATACAGTATTGACGACGTCAATACTGACAACATCTCCAACCTCAAAATCTCCCCGCAACCAAAAACAGCCTCACCGCGAGCAAAAGCGATGGCACTTCGCAACGCCTTCCGGGATGTCTTCGCGATCGGGACGGATGAAGGGTAAGTGCCAGAAAAAGGCATTCGTATAAAGATGTGAGGGTGCGCTTTTTTCTGTGCATTGTCTTGTTCAGTTCAGTTCTATCCTTTTTAAACTCGCCGAGCATACTCCGGTGTCTGTCAGTTTGCAAGATGCATATCCTGGTAGGTAACTCTACGCAGAGGGAAAAAAAAAAAAAAAAAAAAAAAACCAGGGTACTAACGCGAACAGGTCGTTAACGACGATGGGCCCCCATCAGCCCGCCTCTCCCCCTACATCCACCCCTTCGTCTCCGCTCTCCAAGCCTCCGGCCACTCCGTCTCCGTCGCAATCCCAGCAGCCTCGCGCTCGTGGATCGGCAAAGCGCACTTGATCGAGGCCTCTCTCGAAGCAACCTACGTTCCTCCCTCCGCCTTCCGCAACGATGGTACATGGGATGACACCCCCGAGTCGTCCAACGAAACCGAGTGGGTGGTGATCAAAAACGGCACACCCGCTAGTTGCGTCCAATTAGGCCTCTTCAACCTCTTTCCCGACGAGCGCGGGCCCATCGATCTAGTTATCTCGGGCCCGAACCACGGTCGTAATGCGTCAACGATTTATAATCTTTCTTCCGGGACAGTCGGTGGTGCGCTTGAGGCTGCGAACTGCGGGAAGCGCGGGATTGCGATCTCCTTCGGGAGTAAGGATCCGCAGCCTTCTGAGACGATTGAGGCTGCTGCGCGGTTGGGTGTTCGTGTTGTTGACCATCTTGTGCGGAATTGGGATGAGAGGGTTGAGTTGTATAACTTGAATATCCCGATGCGCGAGGATGTGGAGGAGAGGCCGGTGCGGTATACGCGCGCTTTGCCGTATTATTGGGAGAAGGGGTGTTTGTATAAGGAGATACCGGGCGATGAGGAGGGTGTTAATGGGACGGGGCATGATGTTGAGGCTGAGACTGAGACCAAGAAGGTTATGAACGGTGGATTGGGGTCGCTGAAGCAGCGGAGCTTCAAGTGGGCTGCCGAATTGTCAGATATGAAGAAGGCTTTGCAGGCTAGTGAGGAGGGTACAGATGCGCATACTGTTTTGGATGGGTGTACTAGGTAAGTTTCCTACTTTACTATGTCTTGTGTGCGTGGCTAACGGTTCAGTGTGACTCCTCTTCTGGCGAACTTCTGGCATGTCCCCGGTCTCGAGGGACAGTTGAATATTGACGATTGATTATGGGCGCGTTGATGGGCCGCTTGCTTGATGAAAGTCGATTGTAGATACCCGCAAAGGTTGTTCTTTGCATGTTCACTGCATACTACGAGGCAAAAAGTATGGAGCATGATTAATGAAATTGCATTATTGCATTACCTAGCAATCTGGATATCGTCTGCCGTAGCATTGGAAACAAGCATAGCATAACATAACGGTGTATCACAAACGTCGTTCCAACATAAAATCACAAGTCAAAAAAAAAAAAAAAAAATCACAGGCCTCTGGCAGCTTCGCCTGCATTGCTGTCGACAACGGACGCTTGTTCGGCGCGCATCTTACCCTTGGCTGCACCAGCTTCGCCGACGCCCATTCTACGCGCGACGTAGCGCTGGGCAATAATTCCAACGGCCAAAGAAAGAGTATCCTCGATCCACTCAGATACCCACTCGCGAGGGTCGACGCCACCATTCTCAATGATCCCCGCGATATCCTCGGGGACTACAAACTGAGGTGCATTCGCATCCTCCGCGTTGGGGTCCTGGGCCGGAGCCGCAGAGTCCAGCCAGTCCACCCACTCCTGCGGGATAGCCTGCGAGATGGTATGGAAGGCAATGCCGTGGATGGGGTCGTGCAGATATAGCGCAAAGGAGATCTCCCCCTCTGCCGCATCGGGCACATCGACCACACCAGGGGGAGTTGCTTTCTCGGTGCTCGGGCCCGCCTGGAAGAGCTCAGTCGAAGAGGCCTGGCTGATCGCCTGGATAGCCAGGAAGATGTCACTGCTGCGGACGGGGTTCGATTCGCTCAGCACCTCCGTTGCTTGCTTGGATGCCTCTTCGATACCACCTTTGGCGGTGAAATACTCAGTAGCGTAGGATTCGGCACTGGCACGCGCGAGTTTGGTGCCTTCGACGGAGCCTGGCACGGCGGAGATGCTGCGCGGTGTTCCAGGGGTAACGGTCCGCCACCAGGGGCCGTCCCGCCAGCCTGCGGGGGACGACTGATAGCCAAAGTCAAGTCCGCGCTTAGGAGCGGATTCCTGTCCGCGTTGGACGACGAGAAGATCACCACCCTCCACCTGCGCCATTACACGCGAGAACACGGAGTAGATCAAGGGGTCGACCACGGGGTATCCGGACAAGTCGTGGGTAACATGGATTTGGAGTTGTTCGTGGGACGAGATCGGAGGTGCAAGCGTGTGGATAAGTGAGGTCACCGTAGGGATGGCCATATCGCGGAGTCCACCACCTAGACGAGGATCTAATTAGTACGGCTTCCCAGAACTGTCTCTCATAATCACTTACCCAGATCTCTTAATGCCCCAACATTCCCCTTCATCTGCTCAGCCCATCTCTGAGCCTCTTCGTTCCGCTGGATCTCCTTAACAGCTGCTTCAGCCTGCGAAGCAGCCTGCTTCACCGCAGCATTGGCAGTTGCAAAGAAACCTCCCCACCATCCACCACCAGAACCGCCATCATTATTACCATTCTGGGAGCTCTCCTCATTCACAGTCTCTTCCGTGCTCGATAATGGCTGCGCTGCATTGCGATTCGCCGTACGTGACGACCGGCCGCTCTCCCCAGATTTGCGGACGGGGGGCCTGTCTTCGCTGGTGCGACCCGTAGGTCTGGGGGATCTGGTGGACGCTCGAGGTTCCGTAGACGACAGGCGGGGAGTACCGGGGCCGCTGCTCGGACGTTGGGAAGCTAGGTTGTCCAGCTCTGCCAGGATGTCTTGCTCGGACTGTCCAGTGGACGTGGTGGCGGCCGGCTTTGGCGCGGGCTTCTTCTGGTCGCCGGGCTTGGCATCGACGTCCAGGTCGTCGAATTGGGCGAGGAGTTCGTCGCTGGTTGGCTTTGCGTTTTTGGGTGGCATGTTGTTAAGTTTCTGGTCAATGTATGAGAGGTGAAGATGAGATTGTCGAGGTGTCAGTTGAGTTGATCAAAGGGTGCTTGTTTGGTGGAGATGGGTGACCTGTGCCAAGACCTAAAGTGAACTATGCAAATACATATACACGAGGATATTATTGCAAATCTATGGGACGACTACTTGTAGATAATCATTAATTATGTTGATAATCGGTGTAATGCTTGTTTTTATGATATAGGTACATACTATGGACGAGCTGCGCATATATATATGGATGGCATATAGCATGCTCCACCTATAGATAGGGACCATGACCATGGGATCGGAATATTAAAATGCAAGTAAATCCTTTTAGATTTAAATAAGTTAAACCGGACTACCTGGAATACGACCATGTAAGCTTTACAGTCTCAAACATGGTCCATTTACATTCAATTGGTGCTGTCCCGGGTTGTATTCCGCATGTTTACTCTGTAGAGGAACAGCAAAGGATTGAATACTGAATGTTTGAACCATGGCATTGCATATGTGCTAGCTATTAATACTACCATGACTGTTCAATTTATATTCTCATAGCACTGGACTTTGTAGCTATCCCTGCACCTTATATGGTGCCTCCTATCTGCAAGCGCTGCTATCCTATCGAGCACTCAGCGCACGCGCCATCCTCACTGAGGCAGTGCCTGTCTCATATCCATCTCATCCTCTCTCCTGCCTTGGTATTCCTCCACTTGAAACTTGTAGCTCTTTCGTTGCAGAGGAATGGAATCTTCCCGGGCGAGGAACTATCGGTCTGTCACGCCCGGGAAGCTGCATTTCGCGTGGCGCCAACGGATACGAGTAGGTGTTTCTACGGTGAGCATGTCGAATTAGACATGGCTGTATGTAAGCCGGTGTGCCTCTGTGCTACTCCGATTGAAGTGCATACAGATCTATGTAGTGGATGATGTCAGGTATCGCGTTACGATGGATACGGTAGAGTACAGTATGCCGGAGGATGTCGTCTGAGTTGGCAGTGACTTGGTTCCAGTGTTTGTCTCTTGCATATTGATACGAGGTTCCTATACTTCGAATATGAGCATAATTCCTTCTCATGCTTGACACAAATATACCACTGCCGTCTCCTTTCCTTTGTATACAGTGTACTCCTGACAGTAAATTTCATTCATTTTTATTGGCTCTACTCACGGAACCAGTCTTTTTCCGACGGCGCAGCGAAGCGGATTCGCCCTGCCGAGTGGATCTCCCGGTACGGTACGGTAAGGGCGCGTAATCTAAACTCTACAGAGCAGACGCCGCACACAGCGACAACAACATCCACCACCGAATGATCATTCCAGTCTGGCAGTAGGACTGAGAAAAAGTGTTAATCAGGCTGATCTGAATCAAAAGGACAAGTCTATACTGGGCCATCGTGGTGTACTCCGTATACTGTTCATGCATTGTTCAGGTATCGCCGTCCTCACTGACCATCCCAGTCCTCTTTTCTACTACTGTAAATCAGATCTTTTCATACATACTTCTGTGCCAGTTCCTCCTCCACCTCCCCCTGCCAGGTTCGCGGCTCTTTTCTTTATACTTAATCACCTTCTTGTTTCTAACTGCACCTCTTCCTTTCTTCTGATCTTTCCATTTCTGATTCTCCGTGGACCCGGAGGTCGAGGCCACCGTGAGCATTAGTGCATCTACTGTCCTCGTTCAGGAACGTTCCCTCGGCGTCAACCACCATCTCAATCTTCTTCTTTTCTGGCAGAGACCTCTTAATTTATTTGGCTTCATTTAATTCTTGTCTGGGAGGTTCAATCATCTTTTACTTTTCGTTTTTATTCTTCTTTCTTTTCTGTCACGCTTACTACTACGGTCCATCCCTGGGACCCTGTTCGCCTTTTTCCTCCACCATCTTTTCTCCCGACTCTCAAAATCAGTCCTAGTTCTCTGTACTGGGAATTGATTGTTAAATTTCATTGATCGTGCTGTTAATCACGTTCTCTCCATTCATTAGAACGGACGTGTTTGCATTCTCGAGGTATGTCATGGTTGATCAGACTTCTATCATTTTCTTCATCTTACGGAGTACGCTCCTTTTTATGCCAACACATGCCATGCCCTCTGTTTATTCCATATCACCATTTTGATTCTTCTGTCTACCTCTTTTTCTCCTTTATGGTTTCTCTTTTCATACTAAATACTCGTGGCGACGGATTTCCTACACGCAGTCTTGGCGCTGCAACCGAACTTTTCCCACCAAAACTAACGCTTTGATAGATTCGACTCTGCTACCACCGTTTTGTACTGCTGAGTAGAGCGTGTCATTATATATCTACTTGAAGAAAATCCCTTCCCCCTCTCTCTTCTTTTTATTCTCGCATCACTATGGCGCCCGTCGCCCAAAGTGATATTGATGCGGAGAGTCGTACTTCGGGCCAGGACTCTCCCCTGCGCCGACAATTCTCCGAGCCATTGCATGCACCGTCAACATCAACACCCACTGCTCAGTCCCCCGCGCCTGTCGCGTCTAAGAATAAATGTCCGGACTGTGGTGAATTTTTCGAGATATTAAATGAGGGCAATGGTCTCAAAGAGCACATTGCTACTGTGCACCCGCAAATCGCCAGGACATCGGAAGCTCATGATGATGCGGATGAAGAAATGGCAGGTGCAGACGAAAATGTTGATGATGAACCCATTGATGAGGACGACGACGAGCAACTGCAAGATTTAGACGAAGATGACGATGTTGCTAATGGCGACGAAGCAATTGAAGCTGACGACGCTATGGTCGAAGATCTCAATGAGCCCAGCGAAGAGACCGGCGGAGACGTTGACGTGGATGACCACGGCCCTCTCCCAGAAGTCACGACCGCGACCGGCTCTGAGGCAGAGTTCGGGGCAGAAGAAAACATCCCTCGAGGCCAACACGAATTTCTGTCAGCGGAAATGCGCCTTTTAAATCGCTGGGATATCAATGATGCTCGCAGCTTTTCCCGAAACTATGATAGCACCACAGCCGAATTGGAGCAGGACTGGGAATATGTATTCAAAGAGACTAAAGCTTCCAAGAAACGCAATTCGTTGCAATTACCCGAACGCCCGGACCCGTACAAGAAAGCGCGGGTTGATCGAGGTAAATTCCTTGAACTCACCCCGATTGAGGAGTTCCTGGTCGATCTGCGTGACCCGGAAACGCGCTCGCCGGAGGAGCTCTACGCCATCACCGCAAACGTTGCGCGCGTTCTTGCGACATGGCAAGACGAGTACTTTGCTGTGGATCGACTATACAAACTGTCTACAGGACAGTACGAGAAATTGGCTCCTGATCCGCGGAAGAAGGTCGAGGACCCCGTTGTCACGGCTGCTAAAAAAGAAGCAACACTCTACCAATACAAGTATGATGCCAGCAAACATAAGAAAGGCTTGGACCAAGATCCCTGGATTCAAGGTGGTTTCCGGCCAACCCCGACTCAGGCGCGGAAGGCCATGAAGACTGCCAAGTTTGAGCCAGGCACCACGCCAAACATCGATGGATGGCGTACTCTTCGCAAGTTCGGCACTGAATACGTTCCCAAGTACCAGGATCCGCCTCCGGAAGATATACCTTCTAAGGCCACACGGACACGCAAGGCGCAAGAAATGGAAGCGGCCGCGGCCGCTGATGAGGCAGCCCGTCAAGCTGCCGCTGAAGAAGAGGAGGAGCAACTGCAACTAGCGACGAAACGGCAGACACGTGGGGGGCGTGCTGCAATGGACGACCAGGAATACTCAACGCCCACTTCCACAAGGGGCGCTGGTCGTGGTCGTGGACAACGCGGGCAAGGCCGTGGACGTGGACGTGGCCGGGGTGGTGTGAGCGCAGTCTCTGGAGCATCTTCTGAAACCCCTACTCCCGACGGTCAAGCGCCTACTCGTGGCAGGGGCAGAGGCACTGGTGTTATGCGCGGGACAAGAGGCAGTAACACTCGGGGTGGTAGAGGTAAAGGCCGAGCGCCCACCACGCCCATCGGGACACCGCAGCATGGATCGCCCATTGCCACTCCAGCACCTTCCTCTCGCCCGACATCTCTCGCCCCTGGCCCATCACAGCTGGCATTCATCGAACCCATGCCGAATGGTGGTTTTGTGACCATGCAACCTCCTCATCCCTTCACAACACCAGAGCTACCGGATGAACTTGACCCTGCTGAGATGGAGCGGCGTGACAGAGCTCGAGCCGAGAAAATTGCCAACTCCAAGAACCCCAGACGCACGGAAGCCATGCTTAACCACTGGGCCCGGTTTAACCAAGCAGGCCGTATCCGACAACCCAAGCGATCCAAGGACGAGATCGAAGCTGACCGAGTGGCATCAGCGGTCAAGAAAGCAGATCAACCCCCAAAGATTGGCGGCAGGAAGAAGAAGTCACCACCGGTTCCTGGTGTCAATCCTCCAATGGCCAAACCGGGTATTGCTCCCGCCCCGGCACCGTTGCCACCTCCGGGCCCAGCTTCAGGTCCCACACCGGTTCATGCTCTTCCAGGCCCGCCGCCAGGCCCTCCACCAGGCCCTGGTCCTGCGCCAACAGCAGCACCGCCACCTCTCCCAGCACCGACACCATCTCAAGCACCACCGCCACCACCATCACATGCACATCCACAGGCACATCCACCACCCCCGCCAGCTTCAAACCCTGGTTTCCCTCTTCCAGCTCCCGCTGGTCACCCGCTTGGTCCTGGCGGCCCTCTCGCTCCTCATCCTCCTCGCTACACAACACCATATTCGCCATTTGGACATATTGACCCTCGAGGGATAGCTCACTTCCCATCAGGTCCTTTTCAACCGCCACCGCCGCAACCACAATATCAGACTCCGTATCCACCAGACAGATTCTTTATTCCGTTTGGGAATGGACCGGGGGCTGGGGTACCGCCGCCGAATCATGGGCATGCAAGACGTCCTGCATGAGTGATTTTCACTTGAAATTAAAAAGATAAAAAGGGAGTAATGGTATCGATTATTATTTCTTTAATCTTGTGTTTGTACATACGTACCGGATTTTCTAGACACTGGCATATTCAATCTAATGGTCAATTGTGGCCATAGTCCTATAAAATTCCTATAAGATTCCAAATGGGACTGACCACCCCTTATTTCGGCGCCTGTGTCTATGATTGTAACTCCTGCTGCCAAAGTAACCATCGGATTATCTGAAGACTTGCCAGATGCACTGGCCGTTGCTAAGCCATAGCAGGCCATCTAGCAAAATTTTTTGACTAAGACATCTATATAAATAACACCAATCTATTCACCATGAGATATATAGCAGTAACCTAGCTAGGATTCTAATAATCCTCATCATACTGATTATCAAAGTCATTGTGAAATACTCCACCAAATCTATTCAGTTGATAAAGAATTTCACCACTCAATTGCCTAACACATCAGTCAGCCCATATATTTCTTCTTCCAATCTTCTTTGTTTTCCATTTAAGGAATACTTACACTGGTATGTTCTCGATTGGAGGGAATTGACCATCGCCATTAGCCGCTAGGGTTCTAAATTGATCATTAGCATGGGCCCGGTACTGATCTTATGGACTGCCGATCAACTTACTGGCTGACGCTTCCATTGTGTTATGGAAACGCGCTAGGGCCTTCAAAGTGAATCAAAGTCTCTGTCGACATTATATATGTTATGTCACGGCGCTCTACTAGGATAATGGAACATCCAACTCATGGGTTCTACCTAGGTAGCTATCAACGAGAATAATCAACATGAGGAAGGAAGAAAGGAGGTGATGCCGTATTTATCAACAAAGCAAACAACTGCATCTCACGTGATAGCCAGACAACATGACCAGGCCGTCACATGTTAGTGGTGAACCTTTAGAAAGTTAATGGCTCCTTCATTACATACCTGGCCCATTTTAGTATGAGTTTTGGATGTTGCAAGGAATCTTTGTGAAAGGCTCTTAGACAGAAATCGATCAACAGGGAATAAAAGGCCCTCTTATAGTAATGAGAGAAAGAGGGAGGGTTGGCGTAGCTAAAGGCTGCAGTGGCTGTTTGCGTAAGTGTATCATATACTCCATATTTAAGTTGCAGCTGAGCCGAGCCCACAGCTATAATACTTATTTATCCAATGAAACTTGGTATATGCGAAGGGGGTTTCAGCCCTTGGAATTAACCCGCAGTTAAGTCGTTCACGTTACAGCGGACTTGAATATTGGGTAGTGATTCATAGCATTTTTGATTGGAAATAGTGAGATTGGCAGAAAAGGCATCTCGAGGAGCTACGGATAATCTGTATTAGGCCTTATGCATAAACGATTGATCGAGAGAGCCAATTTTAGATAAAAATATGTGCATCAGACGTTGATTTAGGTCGTCCGTAGTTAAGTACAGATGTGCCCACAATATGTCAGATTCCTAATCCAGTTGATGTGGGAACGGGGTCTGGCAGCTTTGTAAGGGGCTAGCAGAATCCTCTGAGTGCATATTTGGTTTTGGCTGTAAAATAAGCTCATTGACGGTCAGTAAGCTGTTTAGGACCCTACAAGGATGGGTGTGACAAGTCCCGGGAGATGCTGCAGGACATAGAAAATAACATTGCATCGTAGTAAGTACATTCCATCAAATCTGCCATTGCAGAACTGGCGAATAACTTTGCGACATGATCAAGGACTAGGCTCAACAACGGCCCTAGAAATGCCTATCCGTAATGGGAAAACGAAAACGTCGATTACGTTCCTGAGCTTAACGAATCCCAGCCCAAAGCGAGAGAAGATCTTTGCACGCTTCTTCGGCTTCCCTGTACTTCTCCTGCGTAATGGATTCTCCGATACTGTCTATGAGACCCGTTTTATCTTGTTCGAGGCGAATACCTGCCAGATGGTAGCCTTCAGCTGCGTAGGCCACTTTGAGGGTACAAGTGAGGTTGTTCGATGCTGAAATATGGATGTGTGTCAGCAACAGCTGCTATAGAGCTGGAGGAGTAAAAACAGCGTACCAATCCAATATCTTCAATCTAGCCTGGTGTGAAGCCATAGAGTTCCTTGAACCATTCGGCTAGATACATATGGCCCTGTTCCTTAAACATTAATGCATCGAGGCGTGTGTGGCTGTCATGGAGTATCGGGCGGTCCGGTTTGTAATTATCTCCCCCTGCTGTTATGGCTTTGCGATTTCTGACTATCCTGAGCTTTAAGTATTGCGAACGATGTGGCTTTTGTAGAATGGATCTTATCGTGTCCTATATATCTTTCTCGTAGGGTCTGTGTCGACTTCGATGGCTTCGTGTATGATAGCGTCGACTTTATGTGTCCAAAAAGTGAGGTTCACGGGCCAGTTTAAAAAGCAGTAGGAAATGTCAGACACTTGCTATCAATTGATAAATGGTAATTTATTGGATCGTAGGGTTAGAAACTGACTTTTTTTAAATGTTAGTTGGCCCGATGACTATATTTGTTACATTGACATTTCATAAGCACACATAGCACAATTTTCAGGAGCTACGTACTTTACTTCGATAAATTTGTCTACCTTTCTTGTTCCATATAGTCCTTATTAATGTAAATAATCACGCTGGTGGTTCCAATTTAGCGACCCGTTTGTGAGCATGCGAACCAAGTAACAGCATATCTCGGACTCTTCAAGCGCCCTTTAGATAAATGGCATCCATAGCGGCCTCGGAAAACATCGTGGCCAGTAAACCTCTCTAGTAGTTTGCTGGATAAAAAATTTCATACACATATCCCCCCGGAGTGTTTCAAAGAATCAGCAAGCAAGACAAAATAACCCGAAACAGCCTGTAAAGGACACGCCCTCTAGCCTGTACTAAACTGGTGCGACAATATGCCATGTAACTTTCCGTAATCACTCTCTCAGCCATGTGAGTAGAAGAACCCTTCCACGGACGTTCACGGAGTGTTGCCTCGTGCTCTTCGGTTTACTTCCAGTCTCTCAAGTCTGTCTAAAGAACTTGCCTGTATTTGTTGCAACCTCACACTGTCTAAGCATATTAATTACCGCAGATAATAATAACTGGCTGTCGGAAGTTCCAGCGTCTGTTTTTGGTTGGAAACAGGGTCGAAGCCTAACTCCCAGCCCGAGAAAAATCGTGTACGAAGTCAAAGTCAATATTGTCTTCTAAAACAAAGTAAATGTGTTAATTGATATATAGAATTTGTGGAAGAGCAGCAAAATACAACATACATTTACCTTTGCTGAGATGGTGTTTCATATTTCGACGCTACGTGAGCCAGGACAGTATCGCTTGCCATCGCTTTCAATCCAAAGTGGTTTAAAAGCTTTGATTACTTGAGACTCATTATGGCGAGAGAATAGGTAGAAGAAAGCAAAGGGTGAAAAGAGAGACGGGATGGATTTACTCACCAATCTAGTAACTACGTAACTAGGGCCAATGACATCACGTAAGCATCACGTGATCATAATCGCCATCCGCTTTTGCGACTCAGTCCGATTCCTCCACGCGTTGAACGTCACGGCCACCCTTGTACTCTCCCAATCGCACCATACCATCGATCCTCTGTCTACCTTGAAGCTCTGGCTTAGCTCCGAACAAAACGAAGAATTACCGCCACGATGGGAAAGAAGCGGCGAGGTCCGACGCTCGAAGAGCTTCTGGCTCGCCCGTGGTGTTACTACTGTGAGCGCGACTTTGAAGATCTCAAGATTCTCATATCGCACCAGAAGGCAAAGCACTTTAAGTGTGAACGTTGTGGAAGGAGGCTTAATACGGCAGGAGGTTGGTTTTTTTTTTTCTTTTTTTTCTTTTCTCTTTTTCTCTTCCGGCTCCATTGTGCGCGTTGCTAACAACTACGTAATTAGGACTTTCGGTGCACATGAGCCAAGTCCACAAGGAACAACTCTCCGCTGTCGACAATGCGCTTCCCAATCGGTCGGGTTTGGACGTCGAGATTTTTGGAATGGAGGGTGTTCCCGAGGACATCATCCAGAGCCATAACCAGCGCGTCTTGACGCAGTTCCAGCAGGCAGAGGCGGAGCGGCAGGCTGTGACGGGGAACCCACCGGCGGGAACGGGGACAGGTCAGCCCTCGGCGAAGAAACCAAAGGTGGAGAGTGTGTCGGAGATGAAGAAGCGCTTGGCGGAGCATAGGGCGAAACGGGCAGAGGCTGTGAATGGGAGTAGCGCTGAAGGGACACCGGTTGGGGCTGGGCAAACGCCTACTACGGGTGGATTTGTGAGTTCCTCCCTACCTTTCAAGTTATTGTTATACTGACTTGTCAGGGTCAATCACCACAGAGTCCCGCCATCGCCAACCAACAATTTTCATACCCGCAACCGTATGGCGCTGCTGCTACCGCTACCGCTAACCAGCCTTATCAGCAGACAGCGAGCCCGGTCTACCAGAACTACTCGCCTGGAGGCCAACCGCAATTTCCAGCGCAATATACTCCGCAGTCCTTCCAGGCCGGAACACCAGGCCAAGCTTTCCCGGCTTTTGGAACTACTCCTACTCCTTCGCCCTTCCCACAACAACAAACGCAACCACAAGTACCCCAGAATACCGCCTCCCCGCAAACTACGCCAGGATTTACGCCCCGGTCCGGTAGCCTTCCGACTGCTCCCAGCCTCCCCCAACGACCCAGTTTCGGTGCTCCGCAGGTCAATTCCTACCAGATGCAGCAGATGCATATGGGACACTCCGTGCCAACACCTGGACTGTCCGGTACAGACAAGACACCAACACCCGGAGCCGTCCCGGTATCTGCAGATGACCAAACCGGCAAGCCCGCAGAAGCGACGGAGGAGAAGCCCACCAAGAAAGACAAGTCGAAGCAAGCCCGATTGGTGTATTCTGATAACGAGTTCAGCCCAGAGGAGAAGATGGCTGGGTTGCCAAGGTACGCATTCGTTCCCAACCGCCAGGGAGAGACAACAGTGGAGACGGCCCCACCGTCTACAGTCGTCGGGACTATAAGAGATACGGACAACACGACGCTCGATCCAA